GCTGTTCGTGTCCTGGGAGGCGTACTCGATCGCAGCGCCCTTGTCAGCCTCGTTGCGCTCAAAGGCGGAGTCCCTGATGACGAGGCTCTGCGACAGCTCGGCAAATAGCCCGCCGCCGCTATTTCCCGCTTTGCAGCCCGAGACGGTCACCGCCTGGAGGCCGAGGCGGCTGCCCTGCTTGGAGGCGATGCCGCCGCCGTCCCCGCCGGCGAAGGAGTTGCTGATGGTGACGCCGCGAAGGACCGCCTCGCCGCCCTCAATCACAAGGGAGCCGCCGTCGCCGTCCGCGCGGCCGTTGATGAGGGTGATGTCGCCCTCCAGCGTCAGGCGGCAGCCGCCCGAGACGAGGAAGTGGCGCGACATGCCCTCGGCGTTCATGATGGCGGTCGAGCCTGGGCTGCTCTGGATCGAGACTTCGATCGGGGTGCGGCACGACAGCTCGCTACCGCCGAGAAGGAAGAGTGCGTCGCGCTGCAGCTGCAGCGACACGTTAGCGCTGGGAGCGCGGTTATCCCCGCCGCCACACACGCAACAATGGACCTTGGCCCTGCCCTCGCCATTGAAGTCAGTGCTGCCGTGCTTGTTGCACCGGTTGTAGGATGAGTACTTGTCACAACCGTCGCCCTCGCCATCAAACCAAGCTATTCCGGACGATGCACCAGGGCGATCCATGCAGAGGCCCTCGGCGTCTTTGAGCCGCTTGCGCAGCTGGTCGACGGTCTCGACGAGCTGGGTCGCGGGAGTGAGCGGCGGGAGCGGCGGCGGAGATGGCGGTGATGGAGGGGACGGTGGCAGCGAGGGCGGCGAGGGCGACGATGGCGGCGAGGGCGGCGAGGGCGGCGATGGCGGCGGCCAGCACACCTGCGATGCGCAAAACGCTGGGGGTCAGCTGCATAAGAGGGAGGCTAGGGCGATTGGCGAGCTACACCTTCCAGGGGGGCTTGGGCTTCTCGCGGAAGGAGAACCACTTGATGGTGGCACCCGCAACCACAATCCCTGTCAGAGAAGTGCCATCTCGAGCCATGATCCCTGAAAGGTCCGGATGGTTCGAGCAGTACTCCTTGCCGTTCACCTTGAAATAGTCTTTCGCGGGGCCGCACTCTGGAGGCTTCTCTTTGCCCCAGCCGCCAGTCCCATTCAAACCGCCTTCGACAACCATCAGTGGGTGGCCTGGGACATTGACAATGCTGCACGTGGGGTCGCGAGGACCCTTGCCCGCAAGAGACCGACGGCCGGGGCCATCGGAACCTGCGCCGTCACCCCCCTTGCCGCCGCCGCCCTCGCCTGCGCCCCCCTCGCCGCCGCCGCCGAGCCCGCCGCCGCCCTCGAAGGCCGGGTAGTTTGGCGAGGTGGCGCACGCGCCGCCGTCGGTGAGCGGGCACGGGCCGTCAGCCTGGACGCTCAGGCCAGGCAGGAGCGGCGGGGATGACGGCGGTGACTGCGGGGGTGGTGGCGGCGGCGGTGGCGACCGGGGTGGCAGAGGCGGCGGCATCTGCGGCGGCGCGTTGGCCCAGCAGATCTTCCAGCCGGCCGCGTACGTCGCATAGTCCGAGCTCCAGGTGATCTTGCCATCCGACGGCACGATCCCAGTCGGGCCAGAGGTGCCGCAGTACCTCACGCCGTTGACGAAAAGATAGTCGAAGGGGCAGTCATCTGTCGGGTCGCCGTTCCCGTCGAAGTCCCAGTAAGGTTCATCGTCTCCCTGCACGTCGAAGGCGAGGGAGACCAGCGGGTTGGGCGGCACATTGGTGAACTCGCACCACTCATCAGGGCCGTACTTGTCCGGGTAGTTTGGCGAAGTAGCGCAGGCGCCGCCGTCGGTGAGCGGGCACGGGCCGTCAGCCTGGACGCTCAGGCCAGGCAGGAGCGGCGGGGATGACGGCGGTGACGGCGAAGATGGCGGCAGCGGCGGCAGCGGCGGATGGCTAGGTGGCGGCGGCATCTGCGGAGGCGCGTTGGCCCAGCAGATCTTCCAGCCGGCCCCGAACTCAAACTCGTCCGAGACCCAGGTGATCTTGCCATCCGACGGCACGATCCCAGTCGGGCCAGAGGTGCCGCAGTACCTCACGCCGTTGACGAAGAGATAGTCGAAGGGGCAGTCGTCTGTCGGGTCGACGTTGCCGTCGAAGTCCCAGTAAGGGCCATAGTCTCCCTGCACATCGAAGGCGAGGGAGACCAGCGGGTTGGGCGGCACATTGATGAACTCGCACCACTCATCAGGGCCGTACTTGTCCGGGTAGTTTGGCGAGGTGGCGCAGGCGCCGCCGTCGGTGAGCGGGCACGGGCCGTCGACCTGGACGCTCAGGCCAGGCAGGAGCGGCGGGGATGACGGCGGTGACGGCGGGGATGGCGGCGCGGGTGGCGGCGGCGGTTGGCTAGGAGGCGGCGGCATCTGCGGCGGCGCGTTGGCCCAGCAGATCTTCCAGCCGGCCGCGGACACTTCATCGTCCGAGACCCAGGTGATGTTGCCATCCGACGGCACGATCCCAGTCGGGCCAGAGGTGCCGCAGTACCTCACGCCGTTGACGAAAAGGTAGTCGGGGCAGTCATCTGTGGGGTCGCCGTTCCCGTCGTAGTCGTAGTAAAGGTAATAGTCTCCCTGCACGTCGAAGGCGAGGGAGACCAGCGGGTTGGGCGGCACATTGGTGAACTCGCACCGCTCCTCAGGGCCGTACTCACCGTCCGGGTAGTTTGGCGAGGTGGCGCAGGCGCCGCCGTCGGTGAGCGGGCACGGGCCGTCGACCTGGACGCTCAGGCCAGGCAGAAGCGGCGGGGATGACGGGGAAGGCAAAGCGCCACCACAACACATAACGGCCTCGTCGCAGGAGCACCAAGAAGGCTGGAAAATGCAGTCTCCACCGCAATCACAGTAGTTTGAAGCCGGCTGACCAGGGCACAGCACCGCAGCCACCCCTTGTAGGCGTGCGGCGGAGCAAACCAGCAGGAAGACCACACCGTGCCGCGAGCCCATTCCCGTTCGGGATGCGAAAGAGCGGAGCCGCGACTCCATAGTAGAGGAGTTGCCGTTACGTCGAGCATGGCTGCGGCCCTCCACCCTCCCATTCTTGATCTGCTGCTGTCGCAACAGCCCGATGCATGCCGCGAGCAGCGCCAGCACGGCCGCACAAGAGTAGAGAAAGAGCAGCGAGGCCGCCTCGATCTCTGAGTGGGCCGTGGCGGTCGTGAAGCTCTCCTCGGGTAAGGGGTCGCCGATTTGGGTCGCGCCGGAAGTCTCGTCAAAGGAGGCGAGCTCGGCGTAGATGAAGGAGGCGCAGCGTGGCCGCGAGCCGGCGAGGTCACTTGAAATGGAGAGGGGATCGGTCGACTCGGTCGTCTTCGAGTCGGAAACAGGTCGCACGAAACGGGTCGTCTTCGAGATCTTCCAGCCGGCCGCGTTCGTCGAATAGTCCGAGACCCAGGTGATCTTGCCATCCGATGGAACGATCCCAGTCGGGCCAGAGGTGCCGCAGTACTTCACGCCGTTGACGATGAGGTAGTCGTAGGAGCAGTCGGCCTGAGGCTCCACGTCGAAGGCGAGGGAGACCAACAGGTTGGGCGGCACATTGGTGAACTCGCACCGCTTCTCAAGGCCGTACTTGTCCGGGTAGTGTGGCGAAGTAGCGCAGGCGCCGCCGTCGGTGAGCGGGCACGGGCCGTCGACCTGGACGCTCAGGCCAGGCAGATGTGGCGGGGATGGCGGCGGAGGGGGCGACCGCGGTGGATCGGAATTGTCGAGCCGACGTCGACGTCGTGCCGCGTCGCCCCGATGGTGGAGGCATGCCTCCGGAAGAACAAGCGTGCCAACCGGCGCCCACGTGCTGCTTTCGCCCACGTTTTGCAGGCAATCGCAGCCGGACTGGCAGAAGCACCAGCATCCCTCGGAATCGCAATGGTGCTCGACGTTCGTCGTGGTGGGGTGAGCTCCTTCGCAAGAGTCAACGCAGCGCTGTCTGGAGCAGTCCGAGGCAGGTCCACGGCACACAAAAGCGTCGAGATCGCTCGTACACCGACCCGCTGAAGGGAAGCTCTCCCAGGTTGAGCGCGTCGCCTGAGAGAAAACCGCTCCCGGCGGCGTCGCCGCGCCTCCATTGCCGGGCAGGCCGAAGCAGAAGATCAGAGCAGGCGGCAGCATCGAGATGCAAGAGATCTGAGCTGCCAAACTCGGCCGCCGACACAGCTGTACTTTTTTTTTAAGGTCCTCCGGCCAGTTTCGGGGGGCAAACCCCGCCCGGCCCCTAGAACCCCAGGTAAGGCCCAGGTGTGGCCTAGGGCATCAGAAGGGACCAAGAGGAGTCCAGTCTGAGCAATAGAGCCCATGTCTTTGCCCCCGAAGGTCGCGTTCAAATGCCCGGACGGACGTCACAGTGGTGTCCGGCCGGCGCGATCACCGAGCTGTGACGCTCAGGGAAGCCTGATGAGGTACTGGTTTCTTTGCCCAGGGCTGGCCTACGGCCCGTGCTGGATCAGCTGAGCAAGGTTTGGGGAGAATCCTATAGTAGGATCTTCAGATATTTTGACGGATGATCGAAATCACCCCGTTTTTGCCCTCTCGCAAAGGTCCAAAGTCGCCACCTCTCGCAAAGGTCCAAAGTCGATGAGTTCTCCGGTGGACCATCAATATTTACCGAGATATGGCCGCTCAAAGTCTGAGACCTGTCACAAAAGTGATGCACCTATTGGGAGCGAGCTTAGGGGACCCCTAGGGTTCTGAGGGCCGGATTTTTTAAGACCTTTTAAGAAACGAGGAGGTTTGGGGGCTTAACTTGAGCACTTGAGCACTGGATAGGGCCGATTCCGCGTGGTACGGGACCCCTCGATCGTCTCGCCCTCCCTCACTGGTGTGTTCATCGGGGGGGGTCATAACAAACACGGGGCTTAACTTGCCATTTAAGAGATTGCAGGCACGGGGGGTCCCTCTTTTAAGACCGTTTAAGAAAATCGGCCTCGCCGGCATGCGTCGCTGGGTTCCGCGCACGTTTTCTTTTTTCAACGATCTTCTTCTCTCTCGTCGACAGGCTGTCAGGAAAGAGGTGGAATCGCGCTTCGCCACAGCCAAGAGCGGCTAAGTCAAACGTGACCTCTAGTGCTACGTATCATCACTCCCCCCACCGGCCAGCCCGGCCGGCGAGAGCTGGCTGAGTATCTCCGCCTCGAGCTCGTCGAGCGCCTCCTCCGCCTCGCTCGCCCCGCCGCGCGTCACGGGCAGGTTCGCGTCGCCCGAAGCCAAGTCCTGTCGAGCACCGGGTGTCAGACCCGCTGGAGGAGTGCCTTGTCTGTGCGTGTCTGTGTGTCGCTCCATCCCGACCGTCTCTCCGCCCATGCCTCCACCCATACCTGGCGTCGGTATCCCAAGTCACTGCTGCCTCGCCTCTCCCGCTATCCATCACCTCGGCAGGGAGGATGAGCTCGAGCGACTCGCGCCGCAAGTAGTCGGCGTGCGCGCCTGCAGAGGGGCTCCAAGCAGGTGCAGGGGGCGTGTCTAGCCGTCCCTAGTGCTCCGGCGAGCGGGGGGTCTGGCGCGCCCGCGGCGCTCGGCGGCAACAGACGCGACTCGACGCCGAGGGCCACAATCCTACGTCGTGTGAGAGCAAGTCAGGGGGGTGGGACGACCAGAGGCCGCTAGCAGATGGGCCTCCGGGGCGTGGATGCGACGGACTGCAGCCGAGAGCCTCTCTTCTCGGGTGCGAGTTCAGAGGTGTCTTCCGCGCATCTGGCGCCCCAATCTCGTCTGTCGCGCGGAGCGCCACGTCGAGGTAGAAGAGGGCCTCGAGCGGGACGACCATCCCGAGGTTGGCGCGCAGCTTGCTCAGCGCCTGCGCCGCGTCCGCCTGCGCGCCGCACCGCCTCCAGCCGCACGCGCCCCACTGCCACCCGATGGCCGCGCGCTGGTCGGCCGTGAGCGAGGCCGACGCCGCGAGGAGGGTGGCGGCGCGCTCGAGGGCGGGCACCGTGTCCGCAGGGAGCAGCGCGCCGAGCTCGGCCCAGCGCTGCGCCTCCGCCAGCGCCCGCGCCTCCCGAATCGCGTCGCGCACCCGCACGACCTCCTCAAACGCCTGCCGCGTCTGCTCCCGCGTCGGCGGCGAACGGCGGAGCTCGCGCCAGTCGGCGTCGAGCGCGGCGCGGCGCGGCGCGAGCTCGTTCTGCGATCTGAGCCGGTACAGCTCGTCGCCCTCGCGCAGCTCGTCCGGTCGCGGCGCCGTGGCCAGCCTCTCCGCCTCTCCGTGCACGAGGCCTGCGATGGCCGCACCGGCGCCCACGGTCCAGGCCCGGAGCGCAATTTGCAGCGCGTCGCGCCGCGTGCGCGAAGGCGACGGCGGCTGATCGGCTCGCCCGAGCGGCGCGGGGAGCACGGCGCACGAGGACGCCGCGAGGCTGGGAACCAGCCCGACCGAGGAGAGCATTTGGGGGAAAAGAAAACGGTCCGCTTTTTGAGCAGGTGTGCCGCCGCGCGAGCGACGCTCCGAGATCGCCCGAGATAGCGCGGCGCGGCGGCGGCGGGGGGGGGCGTGGCGTGGAGCCCCGAGATTGCGCGAGATTGCCCGAGATCGCGAGGCGCGGCCCGAGATCGCTCGAGATCGCGCGGGTGTGTGGCGCCTTGGCATATCTCGGACTCGGCGAGGTGGATGGGCTGGGAGCAAGGAAGCGGAAGTGATCAGTGCGGTAGATCAGTCGGGGCGCAAGAGGTGGCCTGTGAGCCATCCGGCTTACATTTACCCTGCGTTCTTGCACATGGAGTGCAAGATACTCGTTCTGAGAGAGATTTTTAGCAATACCAAACAAATCTAACACTCACACGTCATTTGTGTTGCTCGTTCTGTTGCCATCCCAAACTGTCACTCCCCTTTCTCCCGGCCGGGGTGGGGCGCGCGCGCGCGCGGGGGCGACGGGTGTGCGGGATGTCTGTGGGCCCGAGAGCGACATGCCATGTCCGCCTTGCGTTTGTTTGCTTAACATCGAAGGCTAAGCTCAAAAGAAAACGTGCCGCTTAAGACCTATCGTTTACAATATGGCACCCCTCTTCGTTTCTCTTTTTTCTGGCCAAAGCTTTTTCTTGCACGAGCGATGCCTTAAGGCCCTTAACTTGGCCGCAATGTGTATCTCGCGAGACCTCGTGAGAAGGCCGCCCGCAGGCCTCCCCGAGGTTCACCGAGGGCCCAAGTGCAAGTCAAGAATTGGCTTTCTTTTGGCGGGCAAGCCCTTAACTGTAATCCGTGTGTGAGCCACTCAACGAAACTCCGCAGGACCACACACCCTCGCACCACCGCACAGGTCCCACCTTAGCGACCACCCCCCAGCGGGAGCGACGAGAGGATGTGCTCTCCTCCCTGCAGCACCGCCTCCATCAAGGCCGGCGGCGGCAGAGGCGAGGGCGGCGGCGAGGGCGGCGGCGGGGGCGCCGGTGCGCAGCCGGCGGTCGGCTTCAGCCGCCAGCTCTTTGCCCAGTGCGCCTCGCTCTGGCTGCACCTGTACGAGTCGACCCACTCCCGGTACCGCGAGACTCGGGTGTAGACGCCGGGCGTGAGCGGCTCGGCGCAGCCAAAGCCCCAGGAGGTGACTCCGACGAGCACGGGGACGCCGTCGTCGCCGACGCGGAAGAGCGGCCCGCCCGAGTCGCCCGCACACGCGTCCACTCCGCCGAGCAGGTTGCCGGCGCACATCTCGGGCCCGTCCAGGTACGGGCAGAGCCCAAGGAAGCCAAAGATGGGGCCGCAGAGCAGGGCGTTGCACTCGCTCGAGCCAAAGGTCCTGACCTCGGCCTCGTGCAGCACGCCGGGGGTGATGGTGGTGCCGAACAGTGGGTAGTACGACGGGTCGTAGAGTGCGCCCCATCCGGCGACGGTCAGCTCATTGCCGGGCCCGCTGTTCTCGCCGTGGTCCAGCGTCGCAAAGGCGATCTGGTCGGAGCACTTGACGGCGTCGCTCAGGACCAGCAGCGCGAGATCGTTCTGGACGGTGTCTGGGTCGTACTCTGGGTGCGGCACCAGCTGAGCCACAGCCACGGTGTCGCCGCACTCCGGATTGTCCACCTCTGGGTCGAGATATTCGGGCTGGTCGGGCCCCATTGGCGTCGAAAGGGTGTGACGCGAGGACGAGACCTGGTAGACTGCGGGATTGCTGCTCTCGGTGATGCAGTGGGCCGCAGTGAGGACCAGGTTGGGCGACACGAGGCTGCCGCCGCAGAAGAACTCGCCGTCCTTCAATAGCGCAACGACAAACGGATAGCGGTTGAAGGAGGTCTCAACGCCGCCGACGACGCGCGGCCGAGGCTCCTCGAAGAGCCGCAGCGGGAGAGCGGTCGCAGCCGTCGCCAGGGAGAGCATGAGTGATCAGGGGCGGTGGTTAGGAGCTCAACGAGTGAGCAGTGCAGGCAAGCTCCGACGAGCGCGACTTGGCTGCCAAGGATGTCGGTGTCCCGCCTCAGCTTTTTTTTTTGAGAGCGCCTTCGTTGTTAATAGTACAAACCCAATTGTTGTGGGAGGGGGAGGGGGAGGCGGGCTAGAGGGGGAGGCGGCGGCGGGGGGGAGGAGGAGGAGGTGGGAGGGGGAATGGAAGTGTCCGCACGGGACCGCGGCATTTATGCGACTTGACTCTTGCGAAACACACGATACACGTGGTATCTCTCCCCCCATCGTGGACTTGGGGGCAGCCGGCCGCCCCGTGAGACTGACCGGCGCAGCCTCTGCCAGCTCTGCAGCCTCGCGCAGCGCCGCCTGCTCCGCCGCACCCGCTAGCTCAGCCGCCTCGCGCTCTGCTCGCCTCGCAGCCTCCTGCTCAGCAGCCAGCCGCGCCGCCAGGCTGGAAGTGGACGCAGTACTACGACGCGAAGTGGGTCAAGAAAGCCATAACGCGGCTGGTGCTCGTGGAAACTTTGGGTGGCATTGCGCCGCCCACCAAGCAGTTCCTCCACGTGTTCGCCAAGGAAGCGGTGGGCACCAACACGGTTCCGGACGGTGTAATGGGGCGGCGTCGGCGAGCGCCTCCTCCTTTGTCGTCGTCCACCACACGCAGCAGATCTCCATGGCGGCGGTGGCGGGCGACGCCGAAACCATCAACAAGCAGGCGCGCAAGAACCAAGATGCGTACCAACTTGATCAACTCCCCCGAGAGGCGAGAGTGCCAATTGGGTCAACGTCAAGAACAAGCAAGAGCAAGTAACGGGTTGTCACGCGTGCCCGTGCCGTTAAGTTCCGCGGACGTGGGCCCCTCCACCCTTCATGTACGGATCACGTACTCGAGTAGTCTCCACAGACGCTGTCGTGGGATCGCTTGTCATGTGGGCCGCCGGTTTTTTTGACTTCTTTTTTAATAACTTTCGCATGCTCAGCACCTGGACGAGGTCACATGGACAACCAAGAATTGGCACGGCCTGCAAATGCAGCGTTTGTCAGTCGTCCTCCACACCGCTGTGGCGTGGCAGACGGTGAACGAGCTAGCGTGCGGGGAGAGCGGCATTGTGCATGGTGCGGAGTGCATTGCCGTTCTTAAGAGGTTCACGAGAGTTGAACTCTACCCAGCTGCCGAGGTGGGCAGATAGCGGCGTAGCCAGAAAGAGTGTAACCGAGGGCGGCTGATCGTGCTTGACTGTAGCAGAGTGTAAACAAGGCCAACCTCGGCACGGCCACACTCGGCCACACTCTACCACGCACCCCGACCCCGAGATGAGCCCTTCCCACCTGGCACTCGATGTGACTGAGTGTGGCAGAGTCCGTGCAGTCAGAGGGTGCCTTCGTTCGGCATCGAAGAGTGTTCATGAGCACGGCCGACTGTGCCCGACTGTGGCCGAGTATTACTGAGGGCGGAAGATAGCAGCAGAGTGCAGCAGAGTGCAGCAGAGTGCAGCAGAGTGCAGCAGAGTGCGGCTGAGTGCGGCTGAGTGCGGCTGAGTCTGGCGGATAGTCCTGGACCACGCAGCACGGATGGAGCCGCCGGGCGCAGCAGGCCATCGAGCCACCGCACGGAGGCGCGGGCCGCGTCTCCCCGCCAGCCCTCTTGTTCGAGTCTCGCACCCACCGTGCCGGCGGCCCGGCGGCCGCCGCGCCTGCCGCCTCCTTCCCGAATGCACAGCCCCCGGCTCGCGCCGGGCCGCTCTCCGCGACCAGTCAGAGCAGCCTGTCCTACTCGGTCACGCGACGACAGCGGCACGCGAGCGCGGCCCTCGCCACGGCCGCGACAATACAAGAGCTGGCCAAAGGCTGCGCGGCAGCGGCGAGACGCACATCGCAGCGGCCGAGGCAGCGCGCACCCGCCGAGCGTAGACTGCCTACACGCAGGCCGTGCATGTGAGCTCTCCAACGTACGCGCCGTGCGGCACGACCAAAGACCTACGCCTATCCGGCGAGACAAAAGAGCACCGACGGCGACGCCACACATCCGTGAAGGTGTTTAGGTGCACGTCGGCCTCTCGTGCCGTGCGCAGGAAGAGAGAGGCGCTGCCAGAAGCTCGTGACGCGGCGAAGTGGTAGAAAGATCGTCGGGGAGCGCCAGCGCTGGCTAAAAGCCCGACGAAGCTGTGCGGCGTCGCTCTCGGCGAGCATATAAAAAACAAATAGAGGAGTATACTAGTGGGGCCACGGCCCAAACGAGCGAAACCGCTGGAAGCGGCGCAGCTCCAGGGCGCTCACGTGGCCAACAATCTTCATGACTGTGGCGAGCTCCTCAACGCTATGCGTGAAGGCCCGCCCTTGGGCGAAGAGCTGATGCCGCTTCACGTAGCGCACCACATTCTCAACCCGGTTCCGAATACGCTCATGAGCGCGATTAAAGCGCCTCTTATCGATGCGTCGTCCGGGACCGTTCATCTGGTTCTTCTTGAACTTGGTGAGGATGCCACGGCAGCCAACGTAGCCGAGATCTCCCAGCCAGCGCTCACCGTGTCGGAACCGGTGCTGACGGCGTGTCCTGCGCCAGATTGTGGCGTCAGAATCAGACCCCAGGTGTGGGCCTGTCCACAAGACAATTGCACCAAGAAAGGTGATGCCAAGCTGCCACTTGTACACGTGCCTTTGGGGATCAGGGCAGAGGGAGGGTAAGCAGGCTGGGAGCAGTCAGTTACTGCAGCAGGAGCTCTCCGGAAGGCAGAGGGCAGACAGATTGGCAGTCCTATGATAGTGAATTGTAGGCCTAGAGCAGATATCGTAGGAACCTCTTGTATTTGTGCGCATAGAGCAGTGTCGCTTCCGCCCAGCGGGATGGCTCCGTCACGTAGATGGGCAAGGTGTCCACCACGCTCGTGTACATTGTATCGAAAAAGGGCGCGTGGTTGTATGGATCGTAGCGATCCTGGCTTCGCACCTCGTTCAAATTAGCAGCAAATGCCTCGGCTACCGGCACCACCTCAGCGTACCACGTTGCATCACTGACACCGTTCCAGTTGCCTGGAATATTGCCATTGCCGACGAGCGACCACTCCTCCTCCCGGCCGATATGGAGCGCGAGGTGAATCCACATGAAATAACAGTACAGGTAAACGAGCCGAAATGGCGAGGCGCCCACTTGTGTTCATATTACGTGCCGATTGCGCGCGCGCTTTTGGCCCAAAACGCATATTTGAGATCGTAAGTATTTTTCAACGCCGCCGGAAGTCGTCATGCGTGGGTCATCTGCAATGAGAATGATTGGGAGATGTGAGCTTCATGGAGGCTCGACGTTGGGGCACTAGCTGCCTAATTAATGAGGTGGTGCGGCGTCTGCCGGTCTGCGAATGCTCTGGAGCATAGAATGCCAGCTGCAACCCGCGCGACTTTGGCCTTTGTTTGCGCGTGGGGCGCGATGCTAACGCTACAGTCGAGTATCGGCTCGTGGAGCTCGAGCGGAGGGAGGCTGGAGGACGTTGGGCGTCGTGAGAACTGAACGGGGAGGGGGGGTCTGGCGTGGATGGAGGAGTTCACTTTTATATATCACCTGGTTATAGCACCATGCTTGGACAAACTGAGAATAGGCTCAGTCTGTTCACGCTTGGACAGAAAGAGAAAATGAAAAATAGGCATGGCCTCTTCGCCCAGGGGCGGGCCGCCTTCAGATTCACGCATAGCGTTGAGGAGCTTGCCACAGTTGAGGAAGATTGTTGGCCACGTGAGCGCCCTGGAGCTGCGCCGCTTCCAGCGGTTTCGCTCATTTGGGCCGTGGCCGCACTAGGCATTCGAGGTTATTTTTTTATGCCCCCGAGCGTACCGTGGTCGCAAGTTGGCGACCACGCGACCAGCTGGCCGTATGTTGGCGACCATATAGGGTTTTTGGTCGCGTGGTCGCTGGTCGTACTTTGGCGACCACTCTGGTCTCTGCCAGAGTGGTCGTGACCGTGGTCGCAAGTTGGCGACCACGCGACCAGCTGGCCGTATGTTGGCGACCATATAGGGTTTCTGGTCGCGTGGTCGCTGGTCGTATGATGGCGACCACCCACGCGACCACGTGGTCGTGACCGTGGTTCTAATTCTGTTTCTTCTTTCTCAAAACAGGCACCGAGGACTCAGACCATTTCGTCCGTCGAGGCACTTCTCCGAACAACGCTTTGTCGAGATCCGGAGATCTACCTCTGAAAAACCTCTCGACTCGTGCCCCCCAAAAGCGTAAAAAACATCTTGGAGAAGCGAATTGCGACCGTCCCTCCTCGCGCCGTGAGAGCACCAGCTTCGTCGGGCTTTTAGCCAGCGCTGGCGCTCCCCGACGATCTTTCTACCACTTCGCCGCGTCACGAGCTTCTGGCAGCGCCTCTCTCTTCCTGCGCACGGCACGAGAGGCCGACGTGCACCTAAACACCTTCACGGATGCGTGGCGTCGCCGTCGGTGCTCTTTTGTCTCGCCGGATAGGCGTCGGTCTTTGGTCGTGCCGCACGGCGCGTACGTTGGAGAGCTCACATGCATGGCCTGTGTGTAGGCAGTCTACGCTCGGCGGGTGCGCGCTGCCTCGGCCGCTGCGATGTGCGTCTCGCCGCTGCCGCGCAGCCTTTGGCCAGCTCTTGTATTGTCGCGGCTTTGGCGAGGGCCGCGCTCGCGTGCCGCTGTCGTCGCGTGACCGAGTAGGACAGGCTGCTCTGACTGGTCGCGGAGAGCGGCCCGGCGCGAACCGGGGGCTGTGCATTCGGGAAGGAGGCGGCAGGCGCGGCGGCCGCCGGGCCGCCCGCACGGTGGGTGCGAGACTCGAACAAGAGGGCTGGCGGGGAGACGCGGCCCGCGCCTCCGTGCGGTGGCTCAGTGCTTCCGTGCCGGTGGATTGTGTGTGCTGCCACGCCACTGACTGGCCGCTTCCGTCCCAACGAATTCTCTGGGTGTGACCGAGTGTGGCCGAGTTCGTGTGCTGACTGTGTGCGCAACCGGACGACCATTTGATTCCCACCTGCACTCAACCACACTCTGCTGCACTCCTTCACTGTAACAGAGTTTGACCGATTGAGGCCGAGTGTGCTGGAGGGTGCCATCGCGTGGCAGAGCCCGCCAGAGGGCGACCGCGTCGTAAAAATGTGTAGAGTTCAACTCTCGTGAACCTCTAACGGAGCTGAGAGGAAGAGCTCCACTCTCCGCCCAATCGTCCGCAGCAGATGGCTTCAGCCGCCGCCGCCGAGGAGGAGGCGACTCTCGAGGCGCTCGCGTACACGCTCATCCGCATCACGTCTCTGCTGCTGCTCGGCTACGTCTCCGCACGGCACCTCCTGCCACCCGGCGCGCAGAGCGGCATCAGCGCCTTTGTCGGCACCCTCGCGCTTCCTGCGCTGCTCTTCTCCTCCATCGCCATTCTGCAGTGGGATGCCGTCGACTGGACCATCGTGGCCGCAGTCATGCTCGCCAAGGCACTGACCCTCGCCTGCTGCGTCGGCGTCGGCGTGCTGATCACCCCTCGCCCCGCAAACGCCGGGGCCGAGATCCTCAACGGCGCCGTGCTTGCTCTCCTCGCCGTCTCTTCGGACGACCTCGGGCTCGGTCTCCCCGTGATGAGCGCGCTCTACGGCCGCGGCTCGCGCTACGTGAGCCAGCTGTTCGTCATCGTGCCGCTGCACAACCTGCTCGTCAACCCCGCCCTGCTCTCGCTCCTCGCGCTCGGCTGTGCACAGCGCTCCTCGGCCGGAGGAGGCCGCGCCGAGCTCGGCCCCATCCTGCGGGGCGTGCTGCGCGGGCTCGCCGGCAACCCGCTCGTCCTCGCCGTCCTCGCCGGCCTCGCCACCAACCTCGCAGGCGACACCACGCCCAACCTCCCACTCCACCTCGCCCTCGACCGCTCCACCACCCACTCCACCTCGGTTTCCACCTCCCGCGAGGAGAGGCGCGACCCGAGATGCGAGGAGCCTGCTCGGAACATTCTCGGAACCTTCTCGGAGCTTTCTGACAGGCGTGGCGAGGAGGGGGCACGCGCCGACGGCGCTGCCGAGGGCGCTGGCGGAGGTCTCGTCTGCGCTTGGCGCGGCTCCACCTCCGCCACCCAGAGTGGTTCCCGCCCGCCGAGTAGAGAATAACAAGTGTGTGTGTCGTTTCTCTGGTCGTCAGGCGTCTACCCGCCCCGCCGCCAAGTGGTTTCGCCTTGCGTGCGTGTGTGATCATTCCGCTCTCTTTGCTCAGGCGACGCCTACCCCGCCACGGTGCTCGTGCTCGCGGGCATGGCCTCGGTGGGCTCCTCCCGCCCGCTGGGCTTGCACAGCCTCACGCCCCTCCAGCCACCTGCCAGGGACCCGGCTGAGGACCCTCTCCCAAGGTTGGCTCCTCCGAGCCGCTGCTGTCGGCCCGCTCGCTCGCGACTCCGGCGCCCGCCCTCGTCGTCCAAGCCCGTCGCCGGCTGTGAACGCGGCGTCTCTTCACAGCCCATCGACTGTGAGCACAGGCGCTCGCCGTCCTGCTCAAGTGCGCCGTCTTCCCGCTGGCGACGCGCACGCTCGCCCTCGCCCTCGGCCCGCTCGTGTCCGGAGCCGCGACGCCGACGGCGACGACCCGCCTCGCCCGCTCGCCGAGGAGTGGCGCGGTCGGGCCACACACCCACAAACTCACCGGCTCTCCGTACCCCGATGGCTTCAGGAGACGCTCGACTTTGCCTTCCTCTACGGCACTCTCGCCACCTCCAACGTCGCGCTCGTCATCGCCTCCTGCTACGAGCTCGCGCCAAAGGCCCATATCTCCCCATATCTCCCCATATCTCCCCATATCTCCTGCTACGAGCTCGCGCCAAAGGCCCGCAGCCGTGCTGTTGTGATGTAGCTCTACCACCGCAGTGTCACTGCTACTCGCCCCGTCGCCGTGCTGCTCCTGTGCTTGGACGCATCACCATTCTCACGCGGCGGAGATTGCCTCTTGTGACTTGCCTAAACCTCCGCCTGTCCCCGCGCGCAGACCGTCGGCCTCGTCGCCGCCACCCTCTCCCTCAGCAAGCTCGTCGGCTTCCCGCCCGCCCTCGCCTCCGCTGCCTGCCTGCGGCCCGCGCTTCCCTCACACCTCTAGCCGTGGGTGCAGGCTTCCCGCTCCTCCTCGTGTCCGCCGCCGTCTACCAGCTCTCCTCGCCCGCCAGCGCGATCGCCGTCTCCACCAACCTCGAGCGAGCGACGCAGTTCGCCTCACTCACCCTCCGGCCTCCTCCGACCCCGCGACCCTTCCCGGACCCTTCTCCCCGAACTCTCTCCGTAGCGGCATCTCGCTCCTCTCCTGCGCCATGGTGCTCGCCGGCGGAACGCTGCAGGGCGCGTGGCGGCCACCTGCCCCCGCGGGCGTGCGCAGGCCAGGCGGCGCCGCGAGCCCAGCGGCCACGGTCGGTTCTCTTGTGCAGTTGCTCACTGCTGCTACTACAGGCAAGGCGGCGCTCCGAGCTCGACGGCGACGCTCCGGCGGGTGGGCGTGCTGGCGGTGCGCTGCAGCGCTGCTGGTCCACAGCGACGCTCAGTCTGCTGTGAACAGCGTCTCTCTTCATGCAGCCGCCGACTGCGGAACAGGCGCTGCAGCTCTGCTGGTCCACAGCGATGCTCTGCGTGAGCGCGGATCGCCTCCGCGCCGCCGCACCGGCCGAAGCGAAGGCCGTGGCTCCAGCTTCACTTCGGTACGGACTGGACTCGCATCCCGTACCGTCTCGAAAGAATGCGCGAGTAGGTGCTCTTCGCCCTCATCTCGAGTCTGCGGTGGGCCGTCGACTCCTTCCTCGTCGCGGTCGCCGTCGCGCCGCGCCTCAGTTGCCGGGCGCAGCTGCTGGCCGCCGCTGCCGTCGCAGCCGCCGCCACGGCGCCGGTGATCGCGGCGTGGCCTGCGGTGTGGCGCGAGGCTGCGCTGCCGCAGTGGGTGCTCAGCGAGGGACACGCGTCGGCGTGCGCTGTCGCCTACCTCGCCTTCGCCCTCGCCCTCGCCGCCGCGAGCTCGCGGTCGCTCGCGCGGGCTCGCGCCGTCTCCTCTGCGAGGCGGCGGGTGGCAGTCGCCATCCACGCGACCACTGCGCTGCGGGCGGCAGGCCGCCAGTACCAGCAGCAGGAGGACGAGCCGCAGCAGCAGCCCGCCGACGAGTCGCCGCGCCCGAAGCCGAGCTTCCTCAAGTCCGTGAGCAATTTGGGCGCGGCCCTGAGCCGCAGTCTGGACACGCGGCTCGGCGAGCTGTCCTTCACTCCGGCGGACGCGGCCAGTGCTGGCGCCGCGGAGGAGCCCGCGCCGGGTCGTAAGCCGCACCAGCTGAAGCCGCACCCCGACTCCTCGACTACTACGCCGCCGCCGTCGCCGCCGACATCGCCGCCGCTGTCGCCGCCGACATCGCCGCCGCCGTCGCCGCCGATATCGCCGCCCGCGCCTGCAGAGCTCCCGAACAGCGACGGAGCGAAGCCCCCGCCGGGGAGGGGCACCTGCGTCCGCGATGACGACGCGCTTGCGACGAGCCCGGCGGATATATCTAGCGTCGCCGCGGTGCGTGTGCAAAAGCTGATTCGCGGGCGTGTCGGCCGCCATCGTTCCTTCAAGGTGCAGCAGGCGAGTGCCGACGGCCTGGCGCTGCGGCTGAGAATGCTCACGATTCTCTCGATGGTGCGCTTCGCCGCGCAAGCGGCTGTGCTCTCGGCGACCACCCACCCGGCCTCGACGGACTCCGGCGCCGCCCTCCTCTTCGCCTCGCTCATGCTCGTCGACGGGCAGGGCGGCATCACCTTCCTCTTATTCGGGCTCACGCCCCGTCTCAACGCAGTCGGCCCCCTGCTACAAAAGTGCTTGGGGCGCCTGCACGCGGTGAATCCGTACAGCTCTCGCATGAGCTCTCGCTCCTGCTCGGCGGAGCTGCCCAGTGACGTCCGGAGGAGGGCGAAGGTGACGGCGCGTCGCTCGATGCTTTATGCTTAGGCCGTAGCCCAAGCCGTCAATAGCATTTGGGTCGGAAGCGACTGATGAACTGTGAGAGTCGTGGTTTTCGAAAATATCTCTCTCTCTCTCTGATGAAACCGCTCCGGGGTCAGGCAGAGATCTAGGGGCAACGGGTACCGCGACGCGAGTCGTGCTAGTTGAGCCCTTGAAGGATGAGGGGGGGGAACTCCTCGGAGTTATTTTTCCGACAAGCGCCTTGGAGGTCCTCATTTTCTTCTTTCTTCGCCTGCAGGATGTGTATGCACATGTTACATTGGCCGCCCACCGCATCGGCGCCCGCCTGTCTGGCCTCTCGCCAGAGCAGCTCGTCGCCTTCATCGACGAGCAGGCGCCTCTCTGGAGCGCCGCCGCAATGCGCGTGGCGGAGGAGCACGCCGCTCGGCTCGTGGAGCAGCCCGAGTGGGTGCTCTCCGAGGTCCTCCTCTCGCCGGACCTCGCCCCGCACATCCTCGCCCAGCTTCCGACCAAGGAGCACGCCGCCAAGGGGACATGCCGCGCGTGGCGCCGCGGCTGGATAGAGACGCTGAAGAAGCGCGAGAGGCCGCGCCTGGTCGTGTTCTGCGGCTACGACGGCGAGGGCGAGTTTGTCAACTCGCTAGAGCGGTACGACCCGTCCACCAATCAGTGGGGGGAGGAGGCTGTGGCCCCGATGCCGACGGCACGAAACTATTTCCGCACGGCGGTGCTCGACGGTAAGCCGTACGCTGTGGGCGGCGAGAATAACGACGAAGGCTGCCTCAGCTCGGTGGAGCGGTACATCCGGCTGCCAATGCGTGGGAGGCGGTGGCGCCGATGGCGACGGCTCGGCAAAATCACGCCGTGGCGGTGCTCGACGGCAAGCTGTACGCGGTGGGAGGCTGCATCGACGACGAAAACCTCAGCTCGGTAGAGCGGTACGATCCCGCGACGAATGCGTGGGAGGCGGTGGCGCCGATGGGGACGGCGCGGAGTGACCATGGCGTGGCGATGCTCGACGGCAAGCTGTACGCTGTGGGCGGATTCGATGGTGGCCGCCTCAGCTCGGTCGAACGGTACGATCCGGCGGCGAACGCGTGGGAGGAGGTGGCGCCGATGGCGGAGTCGCGGGACGAAGCTCGCAGTTTCGGTGCTCGACGGCAAGCTGTACGCTGTGGGCGGGTGGGATGCCATTTACAATCGCCTCAGCTCGGTGGAGCGGTACGACCCTACGTTGGATGCATGGGAGGCAGTGGCGCCGATGGCGACGACGCGGTACAGTCACGTCGTGGCGGTGCTGGATGGCAGGTTGTACGCTGTGGGAGGCTTCAACGACGGCGACGGCGACTTCGGCACGGTCGAGCAGTACGACCCGGCCGAGAATGTGTGGGAGGCGGTGGCGCCGATGGCGACGGCGCGAGGCGCTTCTATCGCGCGGAGTCTTGATGAATGTAGTGCCTAGTGCGGTCAGGTTTGACGTAGCCTGGCGTTTGTGCCCCGTTTCGCGTTTGTGCCGTGGGTGAGCATTTGACACGTCGACGAGTCCCTCAGTACGGCTTTATACGCAGCCAGACGCACGCTAGGACTCGCGCAGTGCGCGGCCAGACCATGCAGCCATGCTTCATGTGCAAGGTGTCGGGTGTGGGTCGCAAACAAGCTCGTCCGATATTCCTCTTCACCTGAGCACGGCGTGGACCTCTATGATCACGCCCTCCGGATCGAGAAAAAAGATCTGGTGCCAGTCGCGAGCGAACCGCGTGCCGTAGTCGGCGTACTGGACGCCGTGCGCGTCGAGGTGGCGCTTGAAGGCGTCGATGTCATCGGTGCGGAAGGCGATGTGGCCTATCGGGCCGACGCCGATCGGGTTGATGGCCTCACCGCTGCGGAAGGCGACGCCGAGGTCTCGCGTAGCGAGGTGCATCTGCATGTGGCCGTCCGTCGTGAAGCTGATGGGCACGTCCGAGCCGGCGCCCGCGGCAGTCATGCCTGTCCGCGGAAACATCTCGATCGGCATCTCATCCATGCGCAGCACATCCCTGTAGAACTCGAGCAGGCCTGTCACCTCGCGACTCACGACGTTGATGTGGTGCAGCTTGGGCGGTGCGAAGGCATCGCTCGCGTGACGCTCCGAGCGCAAATCGGGATTTGCCGCGACGAGCGTTTTAAGCTCGTCCTCGAGGCCATCTCGGCTCTCGCGCAGTTCCGGGTGCGCAGTCTCAAGGCTGCGCAGCTGCTGCTTGACCGATGCGAGCTGCTCCCGGAGGCGGGCGTGCGCCAGCGCTGCGCCGCTGCTTGTGCACAGGTGGCGGCCTCTCGCACTCCCGCCGCAACCGACGCGCAGTAGCGCCCTCATCGTCGTTGTCGGCGTCGCACGTTGTCGGTAGCCGACTTGCACAGCCTCTTCCTCTCGCCAGGTCGTGCCGCTCCACCGCTCCACCGCCACTGTCTCGCCAGGCGGCACGCAAAAAAGAAGAAATACTCCACGAGAAAATAGGCACCGGCCCTGCGCGCACCACTCCCTTTGTTCTCTTCTCATAAAATCGGAGGGTCGGCCCACGGGGGGACTTCGTGAACTGAAGCGACCTAACGATTTATCGATTTTATGTATTATGAGTGGCAGCAAAGGGAGTGGGCGCGCACTGGCACTAACACGCGACTCCTGCGAGGAAACGAAACATCTAGTTGAAATTGGAGAGAAGGGGGCTTTTCCTCTTTCTTTCTAAACAACGAAGGACTCGATCTCTCAAAAGACAGCTCACGCGGCTCCGTTGGGGCTCACGCGGCCGTCCGCATGCGCACCCTCCTCACGCCGAGGCTGACCAGCGCCTCGTCACACCTCTCCGCCTGCCTCTCCACCCCCCCCTCCGCCGTCTCTCGAGCGAGCGCCTGCAGCGCCGCAACGCCGCCGACCCGGTGCCACTGCTCAGCGCACGCAGACGAGGAGGTTGCGAGGGCGAGGAGGGCGTTGATGCTGTCTCTGCGCCAGCCATCATCCTCGGGCTGGTCCAGCCGCGAGAGGAGCAGCGAGAGGCAAGTGTCGTCGGCCGCGAGGTCGGGACAGCTGCTGGCCAGGTACACAAGGGCAATGGCAGCAGCGAGTTTGCAGTCGTCCGAGGCGCCTGCCTCCTGCGCGAGAGAGGAGAGGACCGCCACACCGCCAGCCTCGACGACACCCTCGTGCGTGGCGGGTGTTACCTCAATCATGTTGCCGAGCCGCCACCGCGGCACCACCCTTCTGCCTCTCAGTCCCATCGCGAGCCAGCGCGACGAGGACCTCGATGCCGCCGGCCGCTGCGATCGCCACGCTGTTCTCGTCGTTGTCAGAGAGGTTCCACAGCGCCCCCGCCGCACGCTCCTTCTGCCCCTCGTTCCCATCGCGAGCCAGCGCGACGAGGACCTCGATGCCGCCGGCCGCAACAATCGCCGCCTTGTTGTCGTCGTTGTCAGCGAGGCACCACAGCGCTCCTGCCGCACAATCCTTCTGCCCCTCGTTCCCATCGCGAGCCAGCGACACGAGGACTTCGATGCCGCCGGCCGCAGCAATCGCCACGCTGCTGTCGTCGTTCAGAGCGAGGTTCGCCAGCGCTCCCGCCGCATTCTCCTTCTGCGCCTCATTCCCGTCGCGAGCCAGCGACATTAAAACCTCGATGCCACCAGCCGCAACAATCGCCGCCTCGTTGTCGTCGTTGTCAGCGAGGTTCCTCAGCGCTCCTGCCGCATTCTGCTTCTGCGCCTCATTCCCGTCGCGAGCCAGCGACATTAAAACCTCGATGCCACCAGCCGCAACAATCGCCGCCTCGTTGTCGTCGTTGACAGCGAAGTTCCACAGCGCTCCTGCCGCACAATCCTTCTGCCCCTCAGTCCCGTGGCGAGCCAGCGCAATAAGCACCTCGATTCCGCCTGCAGCAGCGATCGCCACCTTGAGGTCGTCGTTGGTAGCGAGGTTCCACAGCGCCCCCGCCGCTTCCTCCTTCTGCCCCTCATTCCCGTCGCGAGCCAGCGACACGAAAACCTCGACGCCGCCGGCCGCAGCAATCGCCGCCTCGTTGTCGTCGATGTAAGCAAGGTTCGCCAGCGCCCCCACAGCGTTCTCCTTCTGCTCCTCATTGCCATCGCGAGCCATAGCAACGAACAGCTCGACGCCGCCGGCCGCAACAATCGCCGCCTTGTTGTCGTCCTTGGCTGAGAGGTTCCACAGCGCCGCCGCGGCACCCTCCTTCTGCTCCTCATTCCCGTCGCGAGCCAGTGACACGAGGGCCTCGATCCCGCCGGCCGCAGCGATCGCCACCTTGAGGTCGTCGTTGACAGCGAGGTTCCACAGCGCCCGCACCGCATCCTCCTTCTGCGCCTCATTCCCATCCCGAGCCAGTGACACGAGGACCTCCACGCCGCCGGCCGCGGCTATCGCCACCCGGCTCTCATCGTCGTCCCGGGCAAGCTCCTGGAGCGTTGCCGCGACGTCCGCCTTCTCGTCCTCGTCTCCAACCCGTAAGAGGGCGACGAGCGCGTCCATCCGCCTGCTGCTGGCCTCCTCTCCCGACAGCCGCTTGAGCTCTCCGAGCGCAGCGGCTTGCAGCTCCGAGGAGGCATCGCCAGCGGTCTCCACCAGCCGCGCGAAGGCACCGCGCGGCGCGAAGATCAGGGACCACCGCTTGCACACGGCCGCGTGGCGCAGGCCCGTCTTCTCGAGCACGCACGGCGCAAGGTCCGGGTCCGCGAGAACGTCGGTCGCGACGGCGGGCGGAGGGCTGTGGTGCGCGAGGAGCGCCTCGGCCCTCCTGTTTGCAGCGGGGCTGTCCCGCATCGCGCCGGCGGCGATCGCGATCAGGGCATCGGGCGGAAGAGCGGCGAGCCGCAGCTCGTAGCGGGCGCAGGCGAGCATTCGCGGCGAAAACTGTTTTTCCATCGATTTCTTGCGCATTGGCGCCCGGGCCGGCCACTCCTCCGCCGTCGCCACCGATGCAGTCCACAGGTCGACGCGGTCGTGGCTGTCGCTGCAGGCCCAGCGCATGTCAGTCGCGCTGCAGCTCGCGGCGGCGGAAGAGATTGCGACCGAGCTCAGGCCTAGACTCCCCTGCGTCACTACGTGCCTCCCCGTCTTTGTAGCCTGGTGTTTGTGCCCCGTTTGTGCCGCGTCCCGTGCCCGGAATTCATTTTATAAAGCTCCTCCACCGTCGCGGGCGGAGGCGAGCATTTCCCGGTCCGGCGCGACGCGCGAGAATTCGTTTTTCGCCTCAGTCATTTCCTCGATTTGTGCATTCATTTCTTGCACGATTTCTTCCCTTGCCCCATTTTTTCGTCTTCGTAGGCTTGTTCATTTATGAAGAATTTTTCTCGAGGCCTCGACCGTGTCGCCTCGGCGTTGCTCGACGGTGTTGCCTCGACAACAACAACACCGGCTTGGCGCTTTCTCCCACATCATCCCGTCGCAGCTGGCCGGAGTTGATCCCTACACATGGCTGAAAGCCGAGCATTACCGATAATGATTCCGACGCCGGTCACCGCGCTCCTTTCGGCGCTCTTGCTCGGAGCTGCGCTGGCAGAGCCGGAGCACTGCTCCGCCGCAGATATGCCACGTGTGTCCCTCGGCGACGGCAACATGCTTCCTGCGGTAGGCCTCGGCCTTTATTATACGCCGCCCGGCGCCGTGGCTCAGGAGATCGTGCGTGAGGCGCTCCGGCTGGGCTACCGCCACCTCGACACGGCCGGCTTCTACGAGAATGAGGCGGACGTTGGGCGCGCCGTGCGCGAGTCGGGCATACCTCGCGAGCAGATCCACATCACCTCAAAGGTGTGGCCCGAGGCGGAGGGCCGCTGGGTCGAGGACGGGTTCGCGGCCGTGCTCGACGCAGTCAACGCGAGCGTTGCCGCGCTGGGCACGCGCGCCGACCTCTACCTGATTCACTGGCCGGTCAACCCGGATCAGCGGATCGAGTACTGGCTCGCACTCGAGGAGGCGCAGCGGCTCGGACTCGCGCGGAGCATCGGGGTGAGCAACTTTGGCGTCGCCCACCTGCAGCAGCTGATCGATTCGCCGCGCACGAGCGTGGTGCCAGCCGCCAACGAGGCCCCCTCGCCGGCGGGCGACAGGCGAGGGCGGCGGCTCACCGAGAGAGGCGCAGCTCGACCACGTAGGTTGAGCTGCACCCCTTTTTGCGAAAGGACGAGATCGAGGCCTTCTGCGCGGCGCGTGGCATCCGCCTGATCGCCTACTCCCCGCTCGCGCGCGCGCTCCGCCTCGACCACCCCTCGCTGGAGGCGGCGGCCGCGCGGCACGGCGTCTCTACTGCGCAGGCGCTCGTGGGCGAGACGGGCAAGCACCGCCCGCCACCTCCTCACGTGCTCCTGTCAACAGGTTCTGGTGCGCTGGTCCGTGCAGCACGGGTACGTGCCGCTCCCAAAGTCGGTCAGATCCGAGCGGGTGGCGCAGAATGTGGACGTCTTCGGCTTCGAGCTCTCGGCGCAGGAGATGGCGGCGCTCGACGCGCTCGACGAGCGGCTCTTCACCGAGTGGGAGGAGTGGGGGCAGCTCGACCCGACGGCGTTGCCATGAGGAGGGCGGCGAGCGAATTTCCTCAACCGACAACCCCTCATGTAACGTGTAACGTAAAGAGCCGACCCGTGTACGGACTCCACTCTAGTGTACGAACCTCACTCGTGATCAGTCCCGCTATGGATATGCCCAACCCACAAAATGAATACGCACCGCATTATGGTTATGCTCTGGTTTTAAAGGACCACGGGAAATATTGTTTTTATTGAATATATTGCTCCAATAGTTAGAGGTGCGATCAATATCAATATATATGTCAATAGTTAGAGGGACCAGGGCCTGGATTGGCTAAGGGGGGCTCAATATATTGATATATTCAGCGATGGTATGTCCATCCCAGCTGCTGGGCGGGCTTCAGGGTGGTGCTTTCACGCGAAAAGGAATCGACGCGATGTACAAACTACAAAGCATACAAGAAGAGGAGAAAGAAGAGGAGAAACACCAGTGATGACGAGACAGAAGCTAGCGCGGACGAGAGCAGGGCAGACCCGGGGACGGCGGAGCCGGAGCAGACGGCATCGGCCGCCGAGGGAACGTTGGGAAGAGGCACGAGGAGGGCGGCGACCTCGACCGACTATGGAGGACCCGTCGCCAGACGACGCAGGGCGGACGATGTGGAGGCGGAGCAGACGCGCAGGGCGAGACGAGGGAGGGAGCAGGACTTTGCGGAGATCAGCAGGAGGATGTACGAACGAAGAGATTAGGAGCAGCAGGGACCTGAGGGACCATGTGGAAGACGGCTAGTGCTAGTCCCCCATTGGGAGGACGACCCCGGCTAATGTAATGTAAACTGCATACTGGGCTGGGTTTTTAGGCATTGTGGGGTTGGCACTCCCATCGACCCTCATGACCTCCTGCGGTCTCTGAGATGGACACCAGTGGGTGTGGGACCACAGCCAGGATACACTCGAAGGCTGGGTAAGCAGTAGAGGTCGATACTCGACGCGTCCCACATGGTTGTGTCGCTGTCGGCACGCTGTCGACAGGACGTCGGGCGACACCGGTGGCAGTGCCACCCAGGAGTGGTCGGTAGTCTCCCGTCATGAGAGAGCCACCATGTGATCCGTATGATGATTCCTGACAACCGCCTCAGTCAACTTTCGTCACAGTTCCCGCTCTGAGAGGAGCTGCGGGTCAGCTCGACAGCTGGAGCTGTGTCGCCGGCGTGCGGCGGCCTGCCTCCGGAGGTGCCTCTGAGGTGGACATTTCTTGGTCACCGTGAGAGAACGCGTTCGAATTTTTACTCCGGAACTTCAACTGAGCACGCGCACCGGCCAGGGCTACAATAGTGCCAGTGAGGCGAAGGCGCGAGTCGGAAGGCCGCGACCGTCAAGTGTTTTCGTCATTTTCCTACTAGAGTTAAGCCCTTGAAGGGCCCCGCCCCCAATGGGGGCGGGGTTGAATGGGCTGGCGCTGGCGTGGCGTTGACATGAGCACGAAGTTGCTAATGTGGGTAGACGAACAAAAAGTAGGGTTGAATTCGTCCACGTAAGGCTTGGCCTTGGGGACTGGTTGGGGTGGCCTCAGGCATCTCCAAGGGAGTCGCAGCGGTGCCCCATAAGCATCTTAGCGATTGTCGAACCTCGAAGTGCGTTCGTTTGAAGAAAGGCACACGGTACTATCGCCTATCGGGCCACCGGTGTCGGGTCACCAGTACTAAACAAAAATTCGACACTTTGAGGGGTGAGAGCATACAGTATTGTGGCATATCATGTCACATAAGGTCAAGCTTGACCGCAGAAGCATCAAGAAGCGGATACTCCAGCTCGACTGTGCCGGCAACGCTGCCTCCTCACGCCGGCTGGCTGCCAGCAGCCGTCGCGGCCCGTGGCGTGCACCAGAGAGGGAGAGAGGTCGAGTCCGCGTGGCTCAGGCCGGCCAGAAGGTGTGTGGCGACGGCACCGTGGCAGGAGTGCGGAGAAGAGCTCGCCGAACGCGAGCAGCGGAAGGCCGAAGTGTGCCAGCGCGAGAGCCTCGCGAACGGGTGCAGAAAAAGCTCGCCGTGACACGATGCCGGGCGGTGGTGGTGCTCTGGCGGCTGTGCACAGTGGGAAACGTCAGGCTGCAACAGGGCAGCACGATGGTCGTGCCCCGCTGCAGCCTGGCCTGACATGCACAGGGCGAACAGAGACGGTACTATCGCCTGGCGCTCGTCTGGGCAAACTTTGACCGCCGCCCGGCTCGCAACGAGCACGCAGCGACAAAATGATGACCGTGTCGAAGTTGAGGCTGGTCGAGAGAAAGAGGCTGCCATGCGAGCCGGCAACTGGCTGGCTCGGCGTGGACAGCCGGCGGCGACTTTTTGCCGAAGAGCGTGCCTGCCGAAGAGCGAGTCTGACTCAAAGTGCACGGAGTGGGCGCCGCCGACCGTCGGGAGGAGTCCGATGGGTGCCAGGACGATCCAGAGAGCGATGAAGGCGCAAATTGCGCCGCCGAAAGTGGCGGTAGAGGCCAGGCCGTGCGCGTGGGCCGGTCGGGCCACGTCCCGGGGCGAGCGATCGAGGGCCGCGGGGCTCGCCCCGTCGGCCGAGCGGTGCGAACGGCCGGTCGCCCGCTTCGGGTTGGACCCGCCGGGCGGTCCGGCGGCGGATGGCACGGCCGGGCGGGCCCCGGGAGGCAGGCGGGGCCGCGACAGGCGGCAGGGCAGAAAATCCCATTCGGAGAGCGTGTAGCGCGACCCGGTTGCTACTTTCAATGATAGGGACAATCGCTGTGAACCCAGCCACGTATACTATTTTACGATAAAAAAAGAGAGACACAGAGATACGCGCGGATTGGCCCCGCCGTCTTCCACGCCAGCACCGGCCGGTGCTATTCTAGAGCGCGGCGGCGAAGTTGGCAATCGCCTGGCGGAAGGCGGGCGCGGCACCCGCGCCGGTCGCCGCACCCGCACCAGCAGGCGCCGCGCCCCGCCGTCCCCGCCGCGGGCGGCTCCGGTGCCGCCGCGCCGGCCGCCCCGCGCCACCGCACCGGCGAGGTCCTCCATCGGTATCGTCCCCTGGGCTGGCACCGCTGAGTTGCTGCATGGCGCATGTCGGCGACTGTGCTAGCGAGAACGGCTCTAGCGGCTCTAGGTTCGCGGTTGCGGTTCCGCTGTATGTGATCCGCCCCAGGCCGCCTTCAGCCTTGCCAAATTCTTCGATTGCTCGGCGCGGGAGCGGGCGCGGGAGGTGGAGGAGGCGTCCAGGCTGGACGGAGTGACGGCGGCTACGCCCGACTTCCGCACGACGGGCGGGGCGAAGCCGTAGTACTCCTCTCGGAAAGTTGTCACGAACTGCGGGCAGCTCAGCAGCGTCGCCAGCTGGTTGCTCGCGAATGCGGCCTCTTGGCAGATGCGGCCCACGGCCTGTGAGTCGCAGACGTTAATTAATCAACTAACTTCTTAACTGGTTAAATTAGTTAATTATATCCTGTGAGCCGCAGACGGTGACGTTGTACGTGAAGGCGGGCGACCCCTTCGCCCCGAGACCGTAGTTGACGATTTGCCGCTGCTTCTCCTTGAGGATCACATCGAAGAGGTCCGGCCGCTCGTAGACGATGCTGCCTTCCGCCAGCGTCCCCTAACACGCGATGCAGATAGGATGCGTACCACGGTCCGAACAGAGCTCCAAACAGGTGCGGGCTCGTTGCCGACGCGGTGCGTTTGAGGCGTGCCACGCTGTCGTCGTCGGTGTCAGTGACGTAGATTGTGAAGTCGATGAAGTGGCCAAGCCGGTCTTTCCACTCGGAGGCGGTAGCCGGCTTGCCGTACAGGCTACGGTGCAGCTCGTCCACCAGCCGGTTGACCCGCGGGATGTAGCCGGCCGCTAGCCCAGCATCTCGGCAGACCCAAATCATCTTGTACTGCTCCGCGCCGAGCGAGTTTGGCGAGCGCGCCTGCCGATGCCACGAGGCGCGGAGGAGCGGGGAGGCCTGCAGCAGGCGCCACACGCGCCAAGCAGCGAGGAGCGTGCGGAGCAGAAGCTGGAGCGCCGTCGGCGAGCCGAAGTTGCCGGTGCTTTCGGACCACCACACCTGCGTGATGAATGCACCAACATCAGGGCGGGAAGACGGTATTGTGCAGTGTATTCAGAGCACCGCGTGAATACGAGGGATACGAGTACAGGGGATACAGCGGGAGTCAGCGGAAGACAGTCGAATCCGTGTGTCCTCTCGAGCGCTGGTTGGAATACAAGAACGCGTTATTCATTCAGCTTCTAAGGCCACCGCACCGCGAGCAACGCAATGGACCCCATCGTGAAGAGTCCGTCCAGCCATGCCCAGAGCGAGCGGAGGAAGCGTGTGGGGAACGCGTAGCGGTAGACGAAGTGGAGCGAGTAGCCCGCGAGCAGCACGGCGGCGGCGACCTCGAGGGCCCTGCCCTGCCACTCCGCCCTCGCCGCCTCCGAGAGAGTCGACCACGAGAAGGCCAGGCCCAGCGACGTCACCTCGCCCAGGATGAGCAGCCAGGAGACGATGTCGAAGACGGCATGCAAGCTCGTGTGCGTCCCTCGGCGAAAGAGCGCGCGCATGAAGGCCGACTCGTCCGCAAGGTTGGCGCGTCGGACAGCGTGCTGGATCTTTGTGGCCGCTGCTGCCCGTGCATCGTCCGCCCCGGAGAAGCGCGCCTGCCGAGGAGCCGGCACATCGACTTCGGCAATCGTCGTGGCCGCCATGCGGTCGAGCTTCGCCTTTGCAAGGGCCGCCTTGCCCACGAGAGACATGGCGCGGGCGCGCTCCTGCATCAGGGACAGCATCGGCACGACGCCGGTGCCCGTGCCGACGCCGAGCACTGCGTCGGCCCGCGCAAGATCGGCCACCGCGTAGCCGTAAGGCCCACGGACCTGCAGCGCGGCCTCGCCGCTCAGCAGCTGGGAAGTGTCTCGGAAGTGTCTCGAAGTGTCTCGGAAGTGTCTCGAAATGTCTCGGAAGTATCTCGGAAGTGTCTAGGACCTGCAGCGCGGCCTCGCCCCTCAGCAGCTGGGAAGTGTCTTGGAAGTGTCTCGGAAGTGTCTCGAAGTGTCTCGGACGTGTCTCGGAAGTGTCTAGGACCTGCAGCGCGGCCTCGCCGCTCAGCAGCTTGGCGATGCAGGCGTCTGACGCGAGCCGGCCTGTCCACGACTGGCCGGGCTTCACCTCGATCAGGAAGCAGAGGTAGTTGGCCTCGTTGCCCGACCCGATGGAGAAGGGGTGCCAGAAGGGGTCGATGCCCGGCACGCAAATCTGTGCGTACTGCCCAGCGCAGAACCGGAACGCGGCGGGCCGCTCAACACGGAGGAGGAGGACCTTTCCGGTCGAGACAGCCTCGAGCACGCGGCACCGGTGTGTGGTGAAGAAGCACCAGGCCCGGTCTGTGAGGTAGAGCGTCATGGACGCGCCAAACCACGAGAGCGTCTGCGACCTCCGGAGAGTGCCTTCGCGGACCGGCTTGTCGAAGGTGTGCACTGCTGCGACGAGGAACCTGGCGGGAGTGGGAGGGGGTGGGTATTGCCATCTCAACCGAGCGCTCTCGGTTTGCTCACATGACGAAGACGAATCCGTGCGCGATCTTGAAGAGCTCATACGGCACGCGGCCGCGGATGAACGATGTGATCAGCACGATGGCCGTTGAGACGGCAGTGACTAGCCCGGTCACGAATATCTCAGAGCGGAGCTTGGAGCAAAAGTCGGCCGGGTCGAGCCCGTGACGAAAGTCGTAGCAAATCTTTCCGAAGAAGCCGAAGAAGCCGCTGGGGGGGGGCGGGGGGGGATCAGCTGCAGATTGGGGCGCAGTTTAATCGGTTTTCCACTCACATGGTGGCGCCGATGAGGAGGATGCAGAAGGCGTAGCCGACCTGGATGTGGAACTGCATGATATGCTGAAAGGGAAAGGTCGAGCCCAGGACCTCGGTGGACAAGAGGGCGAGGAGCCGCTTGGCCATCGTCAACGGGAGGAGTGCCAGCTGGAAGAGGATGGCATGCATCTGAAGCGCGGGTTCATGGTATACAGTGTCAGTGTCAGCTGCTTCGCCTGTCTGTACACGAATATATCCCGCCAGGAGAAGCTGCAACTCACCAGGCCAAACTCAAAGGGTGGCATCAACCGTTTAAGCCAGTAGTTCGGGGCGCCCTCGGGCACGTTCGCGAGCTGCACGTAGTACTTGTTCTGAAAGAAATGCTGCCAGGCCACAATCGTGAGGAGCAGGTGCAGCGCTCGGAAGAGGAGCAAGCTGTACAGCACGTTGAAGCGAGAGCCGACGCGGTCCACGAAAGAGACGGACTTGACGTTATCCATCGCCAACTTTGCAATTCTGCGATTGAATTGGCGAGATGCCGCAGCACCCTCCACCGTCGTCTCCATCGCTTTCGACGCGTGTTCTGGAGACGACATGCCGAGTCGTTGAGAGCAGAACACAGCCTGGCTGTCCACGACAAACCGCACCGAGAGAGGGGGGGGAGGGACACAGGCCGGCTTTTTTCGTCATAAGAGGGCTCCCGCGGCGATCAACACCGCAACTCCTTTTCTGGCTACGCGCACAGACACAGTACGCGGCAGCGCCGACACGTCAACCCGCGTGTACGTCAGCGACGGGTCGCGCACGCCGCACGAGGCGCATGCGTGCAGCGGCAGCGCGTGCGCCATGCGCTCGTCGCTCCACTCGCCCAGCAGCCGCCGCTTCGTCTCGTCGGAGACGTGCACGCAGCGCTGCAGCAGCGCCGCCGTCTCGTCCTCGGGCCGCTCCAGGTCCATGACGACGTTCGTCGAGGCGTGGAAGCGCGTCTCCAGGTCGATGGCCGCCTGCTCGGCCGCGGCGAGCTTGCCCTGGTCGACGCACATGCCGCACACCGCGTGCGCCGGGCAGCCGCACTGGCCGCGTTGTGGGCGCACGGTCTTGGCGACCGCCGGCGCTGCGCGCCGGTCGTGCTGCTCACGCTGCCGGCGGCGCTGGTCGCGCGCCTGCCGATCGCGCGTGTTCGCGGCGGCTGCATCTCCTGCTCGTTTCGCTCGCACCCGAGCGGCTGTCGCCAGGCGCTTCAGGTCGGCGGTGCTGCGCGCGCGGCCGTCGGCTCTGCACAGCCACATGTCCTCCTCCTCGGCAGGCTCGCACGGCTTGCCGTCGAACTGCGGCGGGAACCCGCGACGACGCTTCGCCCAGGCCGGGCACGATGGTGCCGCGACGAGCGGCGTCGAGGCGACGGCCATCGATGGGTCCAGAAGACTTGGAGACACTTCTAAACCAAAAAATCAAAAAAGCGAGCACAAGTGCGTTACATGGGCATGGCCGGCGTTTCTGCACCGAACGATCTTACTTTCGGTCTATCGAAAGTGTTGATCGATAAAATTCTTTTTTGGCTGTTTGGCGTGTGGTGTAACGTCTGTTTGTGCGGGGCGGTGAGCACTGGATAGGGTCGATTCCGCATGGTACGGGAGAACGGGACACGGGACCCCTCGATCGTCTCGCCCTCTCCCTTGCTGGTGTGTTCATGGGGGGGGTCATAACAAACACGGTACAGGACACTGTGCCTAGTTTGCCTCCCTTTGCAGGAGAGGACGGGGCAAAGGACGACGCGGCTGTGTATGCCTCCCTGTTAGCGGACGCGTGGCTGTGTGTGTGTAGAGAGAGAGAGAGAGAGATCGAGTGTATGCCTCCCTGTAGGAAGCGGCGTGCGCGGCGCACAAAGTCAAAGTCGCTCCACAAAGAGGGGCCAAGCCTGCCTAGTATGAAGTATGAGGCCCTCGAGCTTGGATATCGGGCTTGCTACGAAGCTGCTCGATTGCATCTGGGGACGCCGCTCGCCGGTCACAGCAGGGCGGCGTTAGAAGGATTCATAGGTGAACTCGCAGCTCGCGGGGAGCGCGGACACCGGAAATTTTGTGAATGAACAGCGTCTAACCGAGAAAAAATCGGGGTCGACGTCACCGCTGACGTCACGCTGACCGCTCACGCTGACCGCTCACCTCTGTCCGATCCGTTCGTCCATATGCAGGTGGCACCGCTCCTCTCCTCCCCTGCGGTGCCCACCTTTTCAAAGTTCCGGGAGCCTCCCGCCGCGCTCTCCGAAGAGTGGCGCAGCTGGTCGACCGCGAACTCCGTGAGCCTCCCTTCGACCGTCGGCCCCCGGACTCGACATTTTCGCGGCCTGCGCCGGAGAGTTGGCGGTCGTGCGCTGGGTGGTAATCGTCATCTGTCTGCTCTGCTGTGCTTCTCGCTCGTGCGTCCTTGCAACTTGTGCTGACCTCCTTTCACCTCCTGCTCTCCTATGCCACGTGGCTGTGTGGTGTGTGTGTGTTTGGGTTTCTATGTTTGCGATTTGGATTTTGGATTTTCTGTTTATTTATTTATGCACTTTGTTTATTTATTTATTTATGTCCATCCCGGGCTTGCAGATGCCCTAAAATTGCTCAAAATGGACCCAAATCGCTTCAAATTCGCTTGGATCGCTTCAAAATCGCTCGGAATCCGCGAATAATTTGATTTCAGCCACCATCTAGGCGACCTTTGGGACAAATGTCGCTTTTGGAGGTGAAAATCAGTGATCAATACCTCAATATGTTGTCAATAGTTAGAGGGGATGCTGTCAATAATCAATATCAATAGTTACAGGGGCGAGAATCAATCTTTCCCGTCGTCCTTATACTGGTTTCGTGTGCGTAACCTGGTGCGTAGACAGGCGCAGTTATACAGCAGATATGAAGGCCGGCCCTCACGCCCTGCCCCGCACTTACGCAGCATAAGTTTACCAATTCAAGCCCATCGACGACCGCGTTACGCATGACGTATCATGTATCCGCATACACACGTAGCTACCCCTTCCTGGCGCCACAGCCTGGAGGCGCTGACGTACTCTGGATACGCATTATGTTTCTGCACTCGCCAAAACGCCCGCGACGATTGCGTGGCCAATGATTTCAGGGGCCCACGCTGCCTTGTGATAATCCAAATCGAATCCCAATTGTCCAACTCGCAAAAATCTGCGTGCGTCCGCTGCATGATGGCCCCGCTGCGGACCGCGTCGTCAGAGCGCCTCGTGTTGATCCCGGCCACCCTCAAGAACAGCACGACTGGCTACAAGAACGTGAACTTCGACCGCCGCAATATGAAGTTCCAGGTGCATGTGCGGGATGGCGGCAAGCGTGTCCACCTCGGCTACTTCGACACCGCCGAAGAGGCGGCCATCGCCTACGCTCAGTCAGAGTGCGGCCGTGCCGACGCCGCCAAGCTGCTGCAGCCCCGCCCCGCTCCCACTCCCGCTGGTGCCGAGGCGATACGGCAGGCGGAGAGGGAGGGCCTCACCCTCACCACCAACAGCAGCAGCAACAGCGGCTACAAAGGCGTCTGCTACAACCCGAAGCAGCGAGGCAGCAAGAATTCTTAAGATACAAGCCTCTCTCACAGCACACTGGCACGACAAGGGCGCAGACTGGCGCGGACTGGTACACACACAGGCTCACCACCGGAGCCGCCTAAGCGACTCCGTTAAGAACGGCAATGCACTCCGCACCATGCACAATGCCGCTCTCCCCGCACGCTAGCTCGAGGCAGCAAGAAGTACAAACTGGAGGTGAGTGAGGGAAGGCGGCAAGCAAGTCAGCCTCGGCCTCTTCGCCACCGCCGAGGAGGCGGCTCTCTTCTACGCCCGCAGGGAGGCAGGCAAGGACACGCTCGCCAGCGATCTCACTGCGACGCCGCCGCCGCCGCCGCCGTCCTCAACCTCTGCGGAGCTGCCAGTGTACGAGCTCAGCATTCTGACGCCTGAGCAAATGGCCGCCAATACGACATATAGTCCACCGTCCAATTTGGACTATAGTCGAGCGCGTCGGAGAGGTGTTTGGAGACCAGCCCTAGCGGCAGCGCCAACTTATGGCAGCCCTAGCGGCAGCGCCAGTGCGCGCACATAAAGGGGGTGGGGTGGGGTTGTTAGGGGTGGCTGTCGAGGGCTATGCCCGAGTCTGTTGTTACCAGCGCACATACAATCCTAGCCAGCTTATGGCAGCCCTAGCGGCAGCGCCAATTTATGGCAGCTCTAGCGCGGCAGCGCGAAGTTTTTAGGGTTAGGGGTAGGGGGGTTAGGGGTTAGGGGTTAGGGGTTAGGGGGTAGTGGGTGGGGGGTACAGGGGTGGGGGTTAGGAAGTAGCGGTTAGGGGTTATTTAGGGGTTAGGTGGGGCGGATGCGTCAGACGTATGCGTAATACGTGAGGCGCAACCCGTGTTGGCCGCCACTTCTCAGTCAGATCCGTCGTGCGTGTGCGTAACAATACGTGGGACGTAAGCTCCCCCCGACACCCGTGGCGAGCGATGCATCAGACGTGTGCACAATACGTGAGGCGTAACCCTTGCTGGCCGCCACTTCTCAGTCAAATCCGTCGTGCGTGTGCGTAATACGTGCAACGTGGGACGTAAGCTCCCCCCGACACCCATGGCGCGAGCGATGCATCAGACGTGTGCGTAATACATGAGGCGTAACCCCCTCTCCGCCGCCGTTCACGGTCGAGAGCGTAGAGCATGTGCGTAATGCGTCGGTCATAGGCCCACCCAGCCCCGATTTACGATCCCACTGCGTCAGACGTGTGCGTAATACACCGTGCGTAGCACCCCGAGAGAGCCTCTCTGGCAAAGCTTACATAAAACAGACGCATCAGCCATCACTGGAGCCGCCACCCGGCTTGACACGGCACCAAAAAATACACGACGTCTCAGCGACGTCCTACGGACCGTGGGCATGGATGTGCATAAGGTGGCCAACAATTGCATTAGTGGCTCTTACATATCCATAGCGGGACTAATAACCTCCCACGAACCTACCCTACCTACCTAGTACCTACACCCCCACATCAGCCGGGACATCTACGCCAACGCATGCTGAGCTCTCACCGCGACGGGGCCCCGCTCTCGGCTCTCCCTCTCCACATCCCTCCTCTTCTGAGCCGGGCAACCTAGCCTCTCCCTCTAACTGAGTCAACGTTCGCTGGTACAAGTCACGTCTGAGGTAGCACTACGCTGCCGCCAAACGGCTCGTAGTGCTCAGACTCGAACGTGCGCTGTGGCTGTGGCTCGGGCAGTACGGGCTGCGCCGAGAGGGCAGAGGAGCTCGCCACGAGGTCGCGCAGCTGCACGACCTGCGAGACGGCGTCGAGGAAGGGACGGTCCCCGGAGAGCCGGTCCGGCGCCTATCCACCACTCGGCCAGCCCATCTGAGCTCCTCCGCCGGGCGGGCCGGCGGGCCGGCGGGCCGGCGGGCCGGCGGGCCGGCGCCTGTTCAATCAGCCAGTCCGTCAACCAGCCGATGCGCCGACTCGTCGGGCGGGCGGAGCGGCGGGCCGGCGCCTTGAGGACGTCCTGCCGGAGGGAGGCGAGGAGGAGGGCGGGGCCCGGCCCGACACCCTCGCCCCTCGCGGAGGCGGCGGTCTCCATCTCGATCTCGATGCCGGCGACCATGTCGAGGAGGACCTGCCCGGGCGGGGGGGACGCGTCGCGGGGTGCGTCGCGGGGTGCGGAGCGGGCGGCCCGTGTGCCCCGCCCACGGCTGCCTTGAGGCGCAGCCCGACCCGCCCCTCCACCGACACGAGACCGACAGCCTGCGGAGCCATCGGGCGAGTGGAGGACGCGTCCCGCCCGCCCCCTCCGCACCGGCTCCAAGCCCGCCCACCCGCTGCAGCTCCTCGGCCGCCTAAGAGGAAGGCTCCAGGAAGGCTCCGCGAAGGCGTCACACCCCGACCGCCTGCTCGACCGGCTCGGCCACCGCAGCACGCGCAGCGGCCACTTGCTCCGCCGCCGCCCACTCCGTTGCCGCCGCCCGGCTGGACGCGGCGGCTACCCGACCGCGGGCAGATGGGAGGAGTGAGAAGGGGGAGGAGCGAGACGGGGAGAGGTCCAGTGGAGAGTGAAGTGGTGTCTCGTGCACGGCTATGCGCCGCCGTCTTTACTGCGGCTATGCGCCGCCAAACACGCGTGTCTCGGGAGTGACCCGGTGCGTTCTGGGAAGAGTCACACACCGGCGATGTCGCGAACGCTAGCCTCCGCCGCCTCCACCCGCCTGCGCGCAGCCTCCTCGGCGAGCGCCACCTGGAGAGCCGGCCGAAGGAGGAGTGACAGCTCGCGTGAGACGAGCGGCGAGCTGCGAGCGGCGAGGGCGCACCTCCCTCTCCGCAGCCCTCGCCTCGACCGCCGCCACCCGCTCTGCCGCCACGGCGGACGCGGCCTCCGCCGCCGCCGCCCGCTCGTCGGCGGCGGCCTGAATCGCAGCCAGCCGCCGCGCAAAGTCCATGCTCGCCGTCTCGAGCGCCGCCGCGTGCTGCGCCGCCACCTCCTCTGCTGCTGCGATTCGCTCGGCCGCACCCTTAGCCTCGACCTCCGCTGCGCGGTTGGCGAGCTTTGCGGCCACCTCCTCTGCCGCCGTCGCGCGCGCCGCACAGTCCGCCTCGGCGGAGGCGATTCGACGAGCGGCGTCCTCCTGGGCCGCTGCCACTGCCTCGGCGGCCGCCTCGGACCTCGCAGCAGTTGTGGCGACGTTGAGGTTCAGCAGCCGGGCCGCCAGCCCGCCCGCCTGCTCATGGGTGTCACGCGGCGGCATTGCTCTCTCCGCGCGACAGGCGCTCGCGCTCGACTGTGGACTCGACCGTCCCTATCATTGAAAGAATTCTTAAGATACAAGCCTCTCTCACAGCACACTGGCACGACAAGGGCGCAGACTGGCGCGGACTGGCACACACACAGGCTCACCACCGGAGCCGCCTAAGCGACTCCGTTAAGAACGGCAATGCACTCCGCACCGTGCACAATGCCGCTCTCCCCGCACGCTAGCTCGTTCACCGTCTGCCACGCCACGGCGGTGTGGAGGACGACAGACAAGCGCTGCATCTGCAGCCCGTGCCAGTTCTTGGTGGTCCATGTGACCTCGTCCAGGTGCTGAGCGTGCGAAAGTTTATTGCTCAGCTGGTTCGCCGCCTCCCTCAGGGTGCTGCGAACCTCCTTTCCAAAGCCTCCGAAAGCCTCAAAATCAAACAAACGTATATCGCAATCATGCTGCCGCGCAAAGGGGTAATCGCCAGGCTGCTCCGTGAGCTTTCCCTTGGGGGCATCCTCCTCCTCCCCCTCCTCCCCCTCCTCCTCGGCATTGAAAGAAGCAGACGGGTCGCGCCACACGCTCTCCGAATGGGATTTTCTGCCCTACCGCCTGTCGCGGCCCCGCCTGCCTCCCGGGGCCCGCCCGGCCGTGCCATCCGCCGCCGGACCGCCCGGCGGGTCCAACCCGAAGCGGGCGACCGACCGTTCGCACCGCTCGGCCGGCGGGGCGAGCCCCGCGGCCCTCGATCGCTCGCCCCGGGACGTGGCCCGACCGGCCCACGCGCACGTCCTGGCCTCTACCGCCGCTTTCGGCGGCGCAATTTGCGCCTTCATCGCTCTCTGGATCCTCCTGGCACCCATCGGACTCTTCCCGACGGTCGGAGGCACCCACTCCGTGCACTTTGAGTCAGACTCGCTCTTCGGCAGGCACGCTCTTCGGCAAAAAGTCGCCGCCGGCCGTTCACGCCGAGCCAGCCAGTTGCCGGCTCGCACGGCAGCCTCTTCCTCTCGACCAGCCTCAACTTCGACACGGTCATCATTTTGTCGCTGCGTGCTCGTGGCGAGCCGGGCGGCGGTCAAAGTTTGCCCAGACGAGCGCCAGGCGATAGCAAGGTCTCTGTTCGCCCTGTGCATGTCAGGCCAGGCTGCAGCAGGGCACTACCATCGTGCTGCCCTGTTGCAGCCTGACTTTGCCCACTGTGCACAGTCGCCAGAGCACCACCACCGCCCGGCATCGTGTCACGGCGAGCTCCTTCTGCGCCCGCTCGCGAGGCTCTCGCGCTGGCACACTTTGGCCATCTGCTGCTCGCGTTCGGCGAGCTCATCTCCGCACTCCTGCCACGGTGCCGTCACCACACACCTTCTGGCCGGCCTGAGCCGCGCGGGGTCGCCAGCGGGGGCAACGCGTCGACCTCTCTCTCTGGTGCACCACGGGCCGCAACGGCCTGCTAGCAGCGTGCGCGAGGAGGCAGTGTGCCGGCACAGTCGAGCCGGAGCATCGGGTTCTTGATGCTTGTGGGGTCAAGTCTGACCTTATGCGGCCTAATATGCAATAATAATGCTTGCTCTCACCCAGTCTTTTGAGATATTATCCCTCAAAGTCGAATTTTCGTTTACTGGTGACCATAGTAGTGTCTGTCTTGTTTGCGAGATCTTCAAACGAATCCTTTAAAGTCTCGACAATCACTAAGCTGCTTATGTGGCACCGCAGAGGCTCCCTTGGGGATGCCTGAGGCCACCCCAACCACTCACTAGGCCGTACGTGGACGAATTGGCCGCTACTTTTTTCGTTTACCTACATTAAGGGAGTAAGCTGCTTATGGGGCACCGCTGCGACTCCCTTGGGGATGCCTGAGGCCACCCCAAGCACTCCCTAAGCCTTACGTGGACGATTTCAACCCTACTCTGTGTTTGTTCGTCCACGCACATTAGCAACTTTGTGCTCATGTCAACGCCACGCCAGCGCTAGCCCATTCAACCCCGCCCCATTGGGGGCGGGGCCCGTCAAGGGCCTCACTCTAGTGGATGAAGCGTTTCTCTCTTGGCCGCTTTGTGTATCTCGAGACCTCGAGAGAAGGCCGCCCGCAGGCCGAGGGCCCAAGTCAAGAATTGGCTTTCGGTCGCGGGCAAGTTTCTCTCGAGGTCTCGCAATCAGGGTTCCGGCTCCTAGCCGGATAGGGGGTCTGTGGCCACTGGCTGGCCCCTCCCAGATAGGTAGGTAGGTTGGTCTTGTTTCGCCCAAAAGGGCCCTGCAATAGGTAACTACACTCTGTTTTCATCTTTTTTCGCTTCGCTGCGCGGCCTGGGGATGTAGGTAGGTACTGTGCCGTACCAAAGTCTGAACAGGTTGGAGCAGCAGCTCCTGACCACGGCGCCGCAGGCGCCTGTTGATAGGTCCAGGTGATAGCCCTGGATGGGCAATGCATACGCCTCACTGGGCCTCAGATCCCCCGGGCCGCGTCCCGGTGCTCTGTGGTCGGATTTGTGACGCCGCCGCACCGCGCCGCGGCCGGGGGCCCTCCGGAGGCCAAGGATGGCCGTGCCGGACCGGGACGAGCTCTGGGAGGTTCAGTGTCAGTGTATATATTGTAGAGATCAACCATGTGCACCAATATCTCTCAGTCTAGCTAAGCCTGGGAAGGCGATGCCGGGGCCGTACAGCAGCTTGATGGTGCTTCGCCGGCGTGCGTCCCGGAGCGGTGCCGGACGGGCGGTCCGGGGGAGGAAAATGGAGGACAACGCCGACGGTGCTCTGATTCGACTTTTTACTTCAAACAAAGACAGTGGCACGCGCCGCACTGCGGCGCGTGCCACTGTCAGGAGCGGATCCGTCAGTTAGTTGTGTTCACGCCGGGATCGTGTCCTCCACAACCTGGGCAGACTTTAGCCAAGTACAGTAGGGCGTTTTGGCGCGAGTCAGTGGCCACAGACCCTCTATCCGGCTAGGAGCCGGAACCCAGGGTGGCCCCGTTTATCCCAACCCCTTATAGCAGTAGCAGCAGCAGCCCAAATGACGTGTGAGTGTTAGAGTTGCTGTCTGTCCTCCTCAATGTTGGAACCCCTTACGCACACACTCACCTTACGCACTCTTTACACAGGGGAGGCGAGGAGTGCGTTTTTCCGGACGAATGATGCCATACGGCTGAAGTACCGAATCCAGGACACAGACGCCCGATCAAGTTGGAGGGCCGGCACGGTGCTCGAGTGGACCGCCGAGCGCTCGTCGATCGTGCCAATGTCGTCGTGACCTCTGTCGACCCGCAAACCGTGCTGTCGGTGGGTAACGGGCAGACTGCCTTCACCGCAGACGTGACCGGCCTGCAGACTCTCAACGCCACCTACCTCTCCCCGCCGCTGCTGACGCAGACGCACGCCGACTGGGGCTGGCACGTCACGCCGCCGCCGGCCGGCGTGGAGCCTCTCCGCTTCACCGAGGCGGAGATCTCTGCGCGCAACCACTCCGCCAGGTACCCCGTGCTGCAGCCAAAGCTGGCGGCCGAGACCGCCTGGCTGCGCGCCAACCCTCACCGCCTCTCGCTGCTCCGCCTCTTCCTCCGCCGCACCGACCCACGCCTGCCTCCGATCGCGCCGTCCGACCTGCGGTCGCCTCGCCAGACGCTCCACCTTTGGAACGGTACGCTGACCTCCTCGTTCGAGCTCGACGGCGCGCCCGTGTCGGTCGTCACCGCCGTCCACCCCTCCCTCGACGCCCTCGCCACGCGGGTCTGCTCCCCAGCGGTGCGGACACGCCCTGGCCCTAGCCCGAGCCCTGACTCTGACTCCTTGGCCCTGGCCCTGGCCCTGACTCTGACTCCTTGACCCTGGCCCTGGCCCAGGTGCGGTCGCGCCGCCTCGGCCTCGGCCTCGCCTTCCCGTACGGATCGGAGGCCTTCCAGGGAGGGCTCGAGTGGGGCAAGGCCGACCGCCACGCCTCCACGCTCGTCAGCGGCGGGCGGCGGTGCGACGGCCGCCCGGTCCTCCTCCGCCGCCTCGACGCGACGACGCACTACGTCCACCTCGCTCTGGGCGGCGGGGGCTGCCCCCACCTCGCCGCCGGCCGCGTGCCGCACGACTGGTCGATCGCCCGCGCGGAGGGGGGAGGCGTGGAGGGAGGCGTGGAGGGAGGCGCCTCGGGGGAGGGCAGTGCCTGCCTCGACGCCACGCTGTGGCTGTCGCCCGCGCGCGAGCAGGTCTCGCCGCCCTCGGCGGCGGAGGTGTTTGCGGCGGCGGCGGCGCACTGGCCACGCGAGTGGTCGCGCGGCGCGGCGCTCGACTTGTCCGGCAGCGCGGCCAAGGGCGCCGCCGCCCTCGAGGCGCCTTGTCTCCGCACATTTCTTTTGCAGCGCGTGTTTCTTTTTCTGCAGGCGCCGCCGCGCTCGAGGCTCGAGTCGTGCGCTCACAGTACCTCTCGATGTCGCAGGAGGCGGGGAGCAGCCCGCCGCAGGAAGATGACCGCTCGTGCGACCTCGGGTGATCTCGGGCGATCTCGGGTGATCTCGAGGAGCAGTGCCGCCGCAGGAGACGGGGCTTGTCCTCAACTCGTGGTACGGCAAGTTCCACACCGAGATGCGGCGCGCCTCGCCCTCTTCTCTGCCCGCTCCCCGATGCCAGCTCCGCAACTGACCCCCCCCCCCCCTTCCTCCTCCCCAAAAAGATGGATGCACAGCGCCCACCACTTCCTCTGGGGCCGGCCCGACCTGGCGCTGCGCTGCGAGCCGTACTTCGAGCGCGTGAGGGCGCAGGCGCGGCGGCACACGCGCGTCGCGCAGCGCTATCGCGGCGTGCGGTGGCCAAAGATGGCGGGGCCACCGCAGCTGATGCCGGCGATCGGCGACGCCGTCGAGCCGGCGGGCGCGCCGCTCTTCGACGGCCCGGGCGGTGCGGGGCCGCTCATCGTGTGGGAGCAGGTGCATGCACACAGGGGGCCGAGGGGTTGCAGCACACTGCACGCTGTGGGGCTGCACGCGCACATGGACATGGCAGCACACGCACACGCACACGCACGCAAGCACGCACGCACGCATGGCAACACAGGCGAGTGGCTAGAACACTGACTCTGTGCAGGTGCACCCCATCGTGTTCGCCGAGCTCGCCTACCGCTCCGCGCCGGACGCGGCCACGGTCGAGCGGCACAACCGGACATGTCCAGGACACGTCCATGACATGTGCGAGGCATGTCCTGTAGGCCACGGTCGAGCGGCACAACCGGACGGTGCACAACAGCGCCGATTTCATGGCCGATTTTGTGTTGGCGCCCCTCCCTCCCTCCGAGCCGCACGCCTGCCTGCCGCTCGGTCCGCCGCTGTGGACAGCCGAGGTCGAGTCCAGGACACGTCGAGGACATGTCCGAGACATGTCCCGTAGGTCCGCCGCTGTGGACAGCCGAGGTCGAGTCGAACGAAGGGCGGCCGGCGAGCGACGCAACCTCCCAGAACCCCACCTTTGAGCTCGTCTACTGGCGCTTTGGCCTCACGCTGGCGGCGCGGTGGCGGAGGCGGCTCGGACTGCCGCCCGTGCTTGCGTGGCAGGAGGTCCTTGCGCGGCTGTGCAAGCCGACGGCGCGGCCGCTGCGTGGCGTGCCAGGGGCGCCGCCAGGCTACCGCCCCTACGAGCGCTCCAGCGACGCCGCCCTGATTTCGAACGGTGTCGCGCCGCAGCTCTTCGCCGCTGCCTTCGCACCGGGCGAGAGGCTCGGCGCCGACGCCGCCGCGCTCCGCAACACGCTCGGCGCCACCATCGCGGCCTTGCTGCGCAACTTGCCTTGGGGCTCCGACGCCGCGATGTACGCGATGGCTGCGGCGCGGCTCGGCAACGCCTCGCTCGCCGCCTCGATCCTCGCCGATCCGGACGGCTTGTGGACGCGCCGGTTTGCGCCGAGCGGGCACTACGCCAACGCCTTCTTGCCGGTCTACCTGCCGGCGAACGGCGCGCTCCTCGCCGCCGTCGCCTTCATGGCGGGCGGGTGGGACGGCGACGGCGGCCGCCCCGCGCCCGGATTTCCGCGTGACGGGTCGTGGACCGTGCGTGCGGAGGGGTTCTCCAAGTATTTCTGACGGATGAGGTCCTTTAGAGAGTCGATGACGCGGATATAAGAGGTCCTCTGTACGAAAAAATCTCTCCGCGCGGGGGCGCGGGGGGGGCCTAGGTGGGGGGGGTCCCATGGCCCGTCACAGGCGCCGATTTTTTTGATTTTTCCTTTATGCCACATTTTTACTTGTTTTCCATGGGGGAATTCGGCGTATGAGCCGTAAAGCCGTACACTAGGGGTTGTGCGCTGGGCCCTCCTGCTCGGCTCCAGCCAGTAGACAAGTCTTGTCATCCACAGAGTAGAAGAATCTGACCTCGGGGCCGATGTGACCAAGCGCTGGTAGCGTGGTTTTACCTCACACCCATATGGTCTCACAGTGTGCCGGCAGTCGCCGAGCAGTGTCGCTCACACAAGCCGCAGCACAAGTGACTGAGGGCCAGTGAGGGCGAGGCCATCGCTGTCACAGCTGTGGCAGCCGCACAGTAGGCTGTGTCAACTGTGCAGAGTGTGTGAGCAGCAGAGGAGCTGCTCTCCAGGCTTCAGGCGCAAAGAGATGCATGCCACCGAAGGCGCTGTCGAGGTTCGCCGAGCGCGGCGCAGGTTGGGGGACACCGTCACCGACGAGCGCGTTGGAGTATTCACTCCGGACAAAGACGGCGGCACGCACACGAGCTGCGGCCGTGCCGCCGTCATAGTGGCGAGGCGCGGCACCGTCTGTGGCGAGGTGGGTCGCGTCCCCCGATTTCCTCAACTCACGGTCCACACCCTCAACTTGCGGCCATGCTATCACGCCTTGCGACAGCCTGTCGGCGCTGCTGACCGTGCCATGCTGCACAATTGATCACCTGCATAGCTCGCGGCCTTAGTATCAAGCATTCAGTGACGACCTGATCGTACGGCCAGTAGGAATCGGTGTGTCCTTCCAGCGCGTGTGCACGCTTTTGACGCAATGCGCGTCACAAACTGCCTCAGATTGGCTGCTGGCACTCTCGAGGCTATGCCTACACAGCCTCGCGCGCATGGGCAGTCAATAGGGACCACGCACCTTCTCAGGACAGCGCCGGTGCCTCTCTCTTGGACCGGCAAACTTGGTGGTCTCGTGTCACCAATGTGGGACCAGTGCGGCATCGCGCCATCGACAGCTCTGAACTGCGCCTCACCACTGACCGGGAAGGCCGCCAAGTGGGCCAGCACAGGTCGCACATTGTGGCAGCAGTCAACAGTGCATGTCTGATAGCTAGAGCAGCAGCGTCAGGGTCGCAGGGTCGGATCGTGTCAAGCCTCTCGCCCGGCCGGCCGCGTGCAGACGTCGGCCTGTCTGCTGTCTGGGGATAGTGTGGTCGCTCAAGGCGGCGACTGAATGGCGCGTGCGGGCGCTGCTGGACTCAGAGCCGCTTGCTGGCGACCCGCACACAATTTCGCTGCCGCTCGACGACGGCTGCCACGCGCCCGCCTCGCGGCCCGCCGAGGTGAGCCCGCTACTCAACCTTACCGCGGCAAAGCTGCTGATGCAGCTCAACGCGGTTTTGCTGTGCAGTGTGGGCGGGATTCAGACGTGGACGGCGGCGGCTGCGACGCCGTGGCGCCGCCTCCCTCCCCTCAACTTGACTCTCCTCGCCTCGAGCTGCAACCCGGGGATGCCGAGCTGCGAGGCGTACTCGAAGGCGGCCTCGCTCGCGGGCGAGGTTGCCCGCTTCGCCACCCAGGCGCCGCCTATCGAGGACGGACCAGAGCTCGCCGCGCTGCTCGTGCTGCCAAGGAGCGGTGGGTGGTGGTCGCCTTTCGCGGGACGCGAGACCTCGACGCGGGAGCGTGGCTGACCAACTTCCAGACGTGGCAGGACGACGTGGCGGGCGGGTCGTGCGGCGAGAGGGTGCACCACGGCTGGGGCGAGAGCTGGGTGCAGCTGCGGGGGCGCGTGAGGTAGGGCGTGGAGGCGCTCCTCGCCGAGCACCCGACGTACCGGCTGGTCGTCACCGGCCACTCCTGCGGCGCCTCGCTCGCGACGCTGATGGTGGCCGAGTGGGCGGCCGACGGCTCCCTCTCCGCCCTCTCGCCGCTACCCCTCCTCTATAGCTTCGCCTCCCCGCGGTGGGAAACGCCGCCTTTGCTGTGGCGCGTAAGTCAACCAGCGCGATTCGATCCCGCGCGTGCCGCCCGACGTGGCCTCCTTGACCCCCCTCACCAGTGGCAGCACGCCGGCACGCAGGTCTTGCTCACGCCCAACTCGGGAGGCACCGAGGCGGGGGGGTGCGCAGGCGCCGGATCCTGCAACGACGCCGTGCCCGGCTACAGGCTCTCCATCCTCGACCACACCACCGCTACTTTGGGGTGAGCTCTGCGGGATCGAACTGCTGAGTGAGCGAGCGTGCGTGCGAGCGAGGAGTGAGTGTGTGGCATTAGGTGGCTCACGTGTGCACTTGAGAACCCTGCTGGCTTTTTTTGATTTAGCCTTGCATGAATTTTGTTGTTCGGTGGCCACCGGGCGGGTTAGCAGCCTCGTTCTACGTTCATCGCCGCTTCGCCGGGGGCCGCGTGAACGCCGATCGAACGCCGACAGGAGCACCCCGGTAGCGGGTAGGGTTGTCGAAGGCGCCGCAAACGCAGACGAGCCATGCCGCTCTGCACGAAGAGCCTCGCGATCAGCGCAAACTGCGTCGTCGGCGCCGCTTACGGGCTCCAATTCTTCCTCGCCCCGGGCTTCACGATCGAGCAGAACTTCAAGGTCGTTCCCGACAAATACCACAAGTTCATGGGTCGTTTCACCGGTGGGCTTGTAGAGAGGGTAGCGTCCCATCTGTTTGTCGCCTCACACCCTGCCGCACCGCTCAGGCATGTGCATGCTCACACTCTGCAAGCTCATGAAGTCCGCCGACGAAGCGATCGTGTGGCCGGTCTCTTTCGCTTTCACGGCGTGCCCTGAGCAGCACGCGCGCCTTCCCACCCCGGAAGTTCCAACTTCCGCCCTACTGACAGGCGGCCGTCATGGCGTGCGGACCTGGCTTCGCCGAGATGTACCTTGACACTACGCCGATGCACAAGGTCGCGCCGGTCCTCGTCGGCGGCGTCCTCGCCGTCCACCTGCTCTCCGCGTGAAGCTCTCCGCCTGGGTCCGCCTGCCTGCCCGCGCCCGGAAATGCACACAATGCACCGCGGCATGCAGAGGTTAGCTGGCAGAGTGCAACGAAGGAACAGTGTCGAACACGTCCCAACTTCTTGTTCTTCTTCAAGAAGCCCCGCCTGACTTCCGACGCGTGCGCGTGGCCGTGGGTGTCGGGGACGCTCAGCGCGCTCTTTGTACCTCGCCAATGACCATATTGGTGTACGACGTATCGATGCCCAGTAAACATTATCCCCCCCGCACGTGTGAAGCTTGGTTTTTTAGAAAATCTTTTTTCCAGTGAATCACTGCCGTGCCCTGAGCCCTGGTCTGACAGCGCTGACAGCAATGAGCAAACCCCGGACAGCGCCTGACAGTGCCCGACAGCCTGACAGCGCTGACAGCACTTTCTCTGACAGTCTGACAGCATGTATCTGACAACCTGACAGCAGAGTCTGACATCAGAGGGGCTCCGTCGCTGTCAGGCGACAGGCCCTAACGTGACAGCCTGACAGCAGCAGCGCTGACAGCCCGACAGCAGCACAGACCGTACACAGACCCCGTAGAGCCTCTTTCTTTGCCCCATGAGGGTATAACAAATTTACATGCAAAGACATGTGAGTGTGGTCCATGAGATTTGTTGTTGGTCCATGTAGTCATGGTATGGTCATGGGTCTCTCTCTCAACCCTCCCGCCCCACCTGCTGCGTGGTGTACCTGTAAAAGAAAGAAAGAAAGAAAACAGACAACCCAAGGGAGGGATGGGAGTATAAATAAATAAATACAACGTACACGCCAAACGAGGGGTGGGAGAAGGACAGGGTCCCCACCTGCACGAGCAGGATCTTGTAAGGACGATCAGGGACACAGGGGAACGGGAGCGGGGAGCGCATCGCGGATGGGAGTACCTGTGTTAGTCCCAGGCGCGCGCAATTCTTTTTTCCCGCAAGGCCCACCCGTTGTAATGCTGAAGCGCAAGTTGGATCACGGCGGCGGGCTCTTCGACTCCTCGCCCGGCGGCGGGCTGCTCGACTCCTCGTTCGGTTCCGCAGCGGGCGCGACCTGGACGCTGCGCGTTGACTTTGACGGAGACGACTCGCGCGAAGTCCACCTGCATCGCGAGGCGTGCCGGAGCGCCTTTTTGACGCTGCTGCAGGACACCGATCGCTTCGGGGGCAGCAGGACGGTCACTCTCGACCCCGCGTGGCGCAGCTTCTTCGAACCGCTGATGCGCATCCTGTACATCCCCGAGGCTGTCGACTTCTTCGTCGAGCAGCTGCTCGTCTCGCACGCCAGGACGATCGGGCAGGCCCTCGCCGTGAGCCACTGCGCCATCTACCTCGACCTCGACGCCCCCTTCTTCGCCGCCTTCTACGCGGCCGTCCGCTCGCGGCGTAGGCGCTGGTCCGCCTTCATCGACGACGACCGCTTTGAGCTGCCGCGAGCGTGGCGCCAGCTGCCACTCGGCCACGCTCTGCGCTGGCTCCACGCGCTGTGCCCCTCCGCGCACGCCGCGCGGTCTAACCTGGCCGCGTACCTCGCCGCCGAGCCCGGCCTGAGCGAGAGCATGATGCACGACGGCGCGCGTGACGAGGAGGCGCGCCGCCGACTTCCGCCACAGTCATCAACCTCACCCACGCTGACCCTAGCACGGACGAGTCGCACACACACACACACGTGTGGGGAGCCGACACGAGATCACACCCTGTCACCGGCCGAGCCACTTTGGGTCTGGACTGCTAGACACACAGTTTGGCTGGCGGCGCTCAAGGTGCCCGGCGCTCACAGCCCGATCACACGTTTAGCTGTGAACAGGTGGCCAGCGGTGCTGCGGAGCCTGACGACGAGGAGGCGACGCGGGGCTGGACGCTGATCGTCCAGGCGGCGGC